TATAGCACTACCCCCTATATATATTATTTAATTTAAGGACCAACGCCTTAATAAAGGGCACGCGTGCGAAACAACAGCATATATACCCTTACGCTAATCCTAAACTAGCTTACTACTCCGGAATTAACTTAACCCGCGCCTAGGAGGACGACTGCAAAACCCGGACAGATTTAGGAAAACGCATTATAATAGCTTATTCCGTAGTGGACTTAATAGATCTACCACGTGTCCCTAATAGCTATATAACAATAAAAAAAGCGCTTAGCGCTATACACCGCAGAGGACGGGGTTTTTATCCGAACGCTATATAGCAGCAAACGGTTTCTCCTTATAAACTAGCCTAGATAGAACAGCTATATAGACCCTAATAGGAGCTATACTAGCGTAATAGAATTTAATAATAATAATAATAATTATATACTTTTATTACTATATATTCTTCTATAGCTCTTATATTACTAGCACTAGTACTTAAGGCTAGGCTTTTTCTACTTTTTCCAGGAACTTTTTTTAGGTTTTACGGCTTTTATTAATATTATACTATATAATAGTAAGTATACTAGGTTATTCTAATATTAAACTATATCTATAGTATCTGCAGCGTTTACTACACCTATTTCGGCGCGTAGTTGCTAGCTTATATTATCTTCCTATAAGAACGGTACTTAGGTAACAGTTTTAAGTTATAAAAGTTTATTTATATCTCCGTATATTATTAATTAAGTTAACTAGGTTAAAAGCTATAAAAATAGTAATATAAAGTAAGAAGTATATAGTATCTAAAAAGGCGTTAAATAGGAAAATTGCTGCGTTAAATAAGTAGTCTGCATTATTCTATTAATCTTCGGCTAGCTTAGGTTTTTATTAAAATACTCGAATATTTTCGGTTATCCTACTTTTTTTAGTGCTATTAGCGCTAGCCCTAGTTTTATACTGCCTTTGCGTGTATTATTATTAGCAGCTTTTTTTTTCCTAGACTAAGTTAAGGTTATATATACCTTTAGCAGGGCCTAAGGCGTATATAAGCTCGGCTTCTTATTAGTATTATATTAGTATAGCGTTGCTTACCTCTTTAATATAGCCTATAGCTAGGCCTTTTTCCTTATACTATATTCGGCACTATATACTAGGTAGTTTCTTTTATAGTTAGCGTACTTTTTAGTATCTATTACTATATATTATTTTATATTATATTCCCCTATATATACTATATATTAAATATCCTTTTTATAGTATTTTATAATATACCTATAGCCCTAGTATTTAAAGTACTATATAGCTATAAAGCCTGCTTTATATTTTAAGGCTATTAGTAATTATCTATTTATTATAAATCCCTTTATAATAGCTTTATCTGCTATTACTTCTATATATATACTAGTAATAATTAAGCTAGCGTATTAGCCTAGGTTTTCTTATATAGCTTTAATACCCTTTTTATTTTTCTATATTATTTTCTTAATAACTAGGCCTAGGTTAATTATTATATTAGCCCTAATAATATTATTTTTAAGTATTTAGCTTTCTAGGTTTAAGTTTTTAGGTACTTTATATACTTCTATTAGCACTGCAGGCAGTTATATATATACTGTTTTACCTAGCACCTATACCTATTTCCTTTTTTTAAGCAGTGCTTTTTTTATAGCTTTATCCGCAATATATACCTTAATATCTCTACTCTATAGCTTTTTTATACTACTAATCTTTATTATATCTAGTAGTCTAGCTACTTAAAGCTTTTAGGTAATAGTTATATTTATATCTACTATAGTTATAGTTCGCTTATTATTATTTTTAATATAAATAGTAATTTTATAGATATTTATAGGTTGCCCTATATACTACCTATTTCCTGCTGCCTTTCTATATTATACAGCTATACCGCTTAGTATAGCTAATAGTATTATACCTACTACTGCTGCTGCTGCTGCTACTACTATAGTATACGTCTTTCTATATATTAATAACGCGTATACTTTTTTTTTCGTATTTTTTATTATTTTTATTAGCTTTTTCTATAGTATTTACTATAGGTCGATTATAGTATCTAAAAGGCCGAATAGAACGCGTTTTATAAAGTTATAAAGGGTTTAAATAATTATATTTATTTTAAGGAATTAGATTAGCTTATTCTATAGAAGGTTTTATATACTATATACTTTATTAATAAGGTCTTAAACGTTCTAGTAGACGTTTTTAATAGGCTTCGGGTTTTAGTATTAGTTTTAGCGTTGTTGTTATTATTATTATTAATGCTATTACTAAGGCGGCTGTATATTAAGGGTTATAATTCGCGGTATACCTACTATAATACTGCTAGTACTATTTATAGGGCTTTAAGGCTGCGTATAATTGTTTACAGGGCCTTAGATAGCCTCTAGAGGCCCTTTTTAGGTTATATTTCTAAAATACTATAGGGTTAATTATATTATATTTATTAATACTATATATATAGACTATAGTTTCTATACTTTTAATAGTAAATAGTAGAAGGTAAAGGCTTTATATATAGGTAAAGCTATTAAATTAGTAAAAACTTTCTAAAATACTATTACTACCTTTTTATTATAAAGGCCCTCCGGACGCTAGTATAGTTAAAAGGTTTATTATTTAACCTTATATAGGAAGTTAAATCGCTTTATTAAAGGCTATACTTATAGCGCTGCTAATAGGTTTTTCCGCTATATAGGTAATAGCTTAACTATATAGGTAATAGTTAATTATAAAAGCGCGCTTTATTATAAAAAAAAAAATTCTAAGTTACTTCTATTACTTCTAAAAGCTAAAAGGGTATTTATTTTCTATTAAAGCTTAAGGTTAAAATTAAAATAAGTTGTATTAATATTAATAAAAAATAAATATAAGGAAAAAAAAGTTTTCTAGGTTTAATACTATTATAAACTAAAGGTCGGAACAATATTAATCTATTCCGCGGAGCCCTAATTATATAACTATCGGGCACGTGTTATATAAGTAAATATATAGCTATAATATTACTTCTAAAAAGAAATTTTAGTTAATTTTATTATAGAATTACCTAAAAGCCTTAGTTATATATTTTTAGGGACTACTAATCGTACACCCCCTAATTCCTAAACGTACACCCCCTTTTCACTCCATGTACACCCCCCCCTCTTGGCGCTTCACCACCTTCTAATTGGCTTGGAGAGCCCGGAGCTTCCTCTGGGCATTCACTCTTACGTCTCTCTACACGTGATGCTATACGCGAGGCCGTACGTGATGCTATGCACGAGGCCGTACGTGAGCTCGTATGTGAGGCCATACGTGATGCTATACACGAGGCCGTACGTGAGCTCGTACGTGAGGCCGTACGTAATGCTATACATAAGGCTGTACGTGATGCTATATATAAGGCTGTACGTGAGCTCGTACGTGAGCTCGTACGCAAGGCTATACATGAGCTCGTACGTGAGCTTGTACGTGAGCTCGTACGTAAGGCTATATAAATTGGCATAATGTAATTGCTTGTGTTGTACATGGCCGCATTTAGAGAGAGCATTCGGAATTAATAAGCAAGTTAAGCGAGCGAATCGGGGGCTACGGAGCAGCCCTCCGAGCCAATTAGAAGGTGGTGAAGCGCCAAGAGGGGGGGGTGTACGTGTAGTGAAAAGGGGGTGTATGTCTAGGAATTAGGGGGTGTACGATTAGTAGTCCCCTTAATATTCTATTACTTATAAGGTTAAGTTTCTAAAATATTAAAGTTTTTTATTAGAGCGTTGTTATATTATCTAATTTTGGTGGGGGTAGAAAAGCGTGCATAAGCTGGTGGCCGTGCACGAGTTGGTGATTACTTCTACGCGGCTCAACACTAAGCCTTATAGATCTTATAACTCCACCCTACAGCTTTAAAACTCCGCAACTATGTATTTCTTTGGAGTCCAAAGGATGCATTTAAATGACTAGGGAGAAACGCCTTTGCGTAACGCGAGTAGCTACTTACGGGCTCGGAACATTCAATATAATAGTCCCTGGCTTCGTGGGAGAATCTCGTAATGTTTCACAAATCTTAGTATCAAAGACGCATGCATAACCGGGTAGCATGCCTAGCGGATAACAAGAATCGCAGCGATTTAATATAGAAGGCAATCCCTTCTAGAGCGTTGTAGTCTGGCGTCCGCCTCCTTACTTCCTAGTTCTGGGGTCACATGGCCTAGGTCGCGGTTACATGTAACAAGCGAGAAGGAGCGAGAGGCTGGTGATTTTAAGGAGGAGAGAGCGCCAGCAACTTGAACATGGTCATGAAGGCGTCTTTACTAGAGGAAATTAGAAACATAAGGTATGACTAACTCGGCATCTAAGAGATGTTGTAGTTTAGAAGAAAGAGTTGAAGATAAGGTTAACGTGGCAACAACGGGATGACATGGCGTTAACACGAAGAAAAGAGCTAGGAATCTTGTAACTGGCGAAAAACAACTTAGCAGCGTCGTAAGAACGTTTCTCAACCAACATATTCGCTACCCGTAGCAGCTCAAACAAGTAGAGGAGAGTGCTTTATCTTGTTTCTCTGTTGTATGTTTTGATATTATGTATACATAATATAGACAGCAGGTGGCAGACTCTGCTTTTCATGTTCGTTGAGTGCAATGCCTCGTCATAGATATCCATCCGTACACTTGTTTACCACTGCATGAGGAGCCTCATAACATTTTCAGCATTCCGAATGAGAGAAGAATTCGGCATTCTGGACAACTAGTAAACTCGCGAGGCTACTCCAGACAGTGTGTCAGCAGAGTATACAGAATAGGAAGATTGGAAGTTTATCATTGCCCCCGGTGTCTATTAGTACGTTGGAGTCCCATAAACGGTGGCAGGAAAGTGTATGGATATCAATGACCTGCTAGACTTTGAGTATAGGTCGTGTTCAGATATATAATCTTGCCTGTTTGACTGACTCTGAAAAGCCTTGATATACGGAGATATTTCAAGAGGGTGATTATGTTGCTCCTGGCACCTTGTCTTTTTTTCCAAGTACACCGTAATCACTTTACCACGAGTCTCTCCAAACTCTTATCAACTATCGACAGTAACTCCGCGAGTTTGTTGGGGTCTCTCATCTGTGCTGGAACATCATCTCTCGTCCTTGCGAGCGCCTCTCTGACTGCCTCAACCTTCTCCTCTCGCGCGGTGTATTCCCGTATCACTTCGCCAGTAGCAAACTCAACATACACTCGCGTATCCCTGATTCGGAAGAGGACATCGTCCAGCCGCATGAAGAATCGACAGAGTAGCAGCATTCGTTCAGGCATGACACGGGCCTTCACTGACAGCATGGCGATGCCGTTGTCCGCCAATTCGTCTTCGTAAAGCATCACGTCGTCAAAGAAAAGGATTGGGTCAGGACGCTTTAGTAGATGTAGTGGGATGGGCGTTGTCGTAGGCTCGAACGAGGGGTTGGGTACGGGCGTGGTGCCTTTGTAGTCTGTGCTGTAGGACCAGTCGAATGGTTTGACAACTTCCTTGATATCCTCGAATTGTTTGGATCTGTCAGTAGTTTAGTACTCCAAACGTCCAAGCTGTTTCCTGCTACTGGGGATGAAGCTACCGGTTCTGCTGCCACTCCTTTGAATACGACACCTTTAGCATAGCTTCTCCAGTCTTATCCACGCGATCTAGCGCATCAAACGCGTTGAACTCAATCTTCCAACCGCTCTCCTTGTATTCCACAGTGACGAGATTGTCCCCGAAGATCATTTCGGGAGGTGTGATGCCGAGCTTCTTGCTCATCTCTTCGATTGGGCCGGCCTTGAGGATGGGTAGCTTGCGCGTGGTGATTCTGAAGCCATGCCGCGTGATGGACGTACCCTCGTGGCCGGGAAGGTGGGTATCCACAGGGAAGCCATTGAGGCCTGTCGCCATGGCTGTGCTTCGTGAGAAGTACTGAGGGCAGGATGTGTGTATTTGGGTGGATGATCAGGCCCCACTGAGCATAGAGTAGCAGTCCGACACCGTCTGGGGTGGCCCGGAGAGCTATCAGGCTTGCCAAGATTGCTGCTTTCAAAGATCTAATGATGTACCAGAGGACCTCATGCAGCGCCAGGAAAGTGTACACAAATCCAGAGAGAGTAGATCGTGCGTATGCACTATATGTGCAGTTTGCAGTGGAGCCTGATGGTGGTGGGGCAAAGAAGCACCCCGCATGACGAGCAAACTGTATAGCTATGAATCATAGGCCTTACTTCACACTCGCATCATTAAAAAAACAGTTTTATATTCGCAAAGCGAATCTCAGTTCACCTCAAACACCGCAAGACTTCACAGTTACACTTCCCGGCCACTGCCTGTGGTGCCTCAGAGTATTTTCAGACTCTGATTCAGAACGAAGTTTCTCATCTTGGACAACGAGCAAGCTCGCGGGGCCACCCAAGACAGCGTCAGAGAGGTGTACATAGATTGAAAGTGTGATTTAATATGCCAGATTTTTGTGAGCGCGTTCAAGCAATACAACCACTTGCGGGAAAGTGTACGGATATATCAGACGAGGTGCTGTATTATAAAGGTGGCTATTACGCGCCAGACCACTTTTCTATATTTCTTGACCATTCGCAGCCCCAATGTGTATTCAGCATACTATACACGAAGCTGATCGCTGGCGCTCTGCAAGACCGGGAAACCAGGCCAAATCGTCTACAAGCCTGGAAATGACATGCGAAAACGCCTGAACCAATCCTAAAAGAACGCTGATAGCGCGAAATTGATTATGGGAAAGAAGTAGATGAGTGACACTAAGACAACTCGAATGCTTTACTCCAGCCTCTTCATCAATCCACTCCTGACCCGCGTGTTGACCACCCCTCCGATTCCGAACGCGGGAACGATTCGACCCATGCGTGCGAGACTGCTCTTCGCCCAATCCTTCGTCACCTTGACAGCTCTTTCCCGCCACTCCGCCCGTTCTCTATTGTACAGATCAAGTCCAAGCAGATGTAGCGGCGTGCTGACCACCTGCAGGGCCGCCGGTGTCATTATCTGAGCAGCACTTGCACTACTGATATATCTTTGAAGTGATTCGCCCATACGCTGAGAGAGGTGCGGTGCCACGAGTGCAGGGAGGTTGAAGGAGGCGAATATAGTAAGGCTATCTCTTAGGGCAAAGAGGGCAAACGTGGCTGTGGGAACAGGTCGAGGTGCTGCATTCGCCGCGCCGAACATCTGAGTAAAGCGACTGTCCTTGTAGAGACATAGTGAAAGATTGGTTGTGGATGTTGCGGCGAATTTGGGTAGACCTGCGGTCACAGTGGAGGCCGATTGGGCGCGGATGGTAGAGAAAGCCGAGTCGATCGAGTTAGCAGCCATATAGGTACCAAAGTAAAGTGACTACAAGTCAGTTAGCATAGAAGCTTTCTTGTAAAGGGGGGGCAAGACGTACGAATATCAAGGCGAACGGCTTCGAGAAGACGAATCGCTGGGGTCGAAACAGGAGCTCCTTGAAGGAGCTTTTGAGACTACCTCCCAGAGTATTGCGTCCGGACGCATTCTCAATGATCCCTCTGCTCGCGGTCAAATCGGCAGGCCCAGTACTTGCAGCACCGTGGATTGGGACCCTACCGGTCAATGAGGGTGATGACAGGCGCGACGAGAAATCCAGCTGCAGACGCGGCGGCTACGTCGGCGCCTATCCTAAGACCTAGCTTACGCGTATTCCAGGAGGAGGCATCTGATGTGCCAACGTGATTTATCGTCTCTGTAAGTGCTTGGGGATTCCAGTCCTTCGTGGATGACGGGGATTCCTGCGGCAGTCCCGCTGACCGAGAGCGATCCTCTCGCATTGTTACCTCCTCTTTCCCAGGCTGAGAATGCTGCGAGGGTGCACGCGGACGTTGTTGCTATGGCGAACAGACCATAGGGAACTAGCTAACAGACAGTTTGGCACCTTAAAGTCCTTCCAAGCTTGCCGGTAGTCTGGCGTCGTCAAGAGCAATACTGCAATTGGTTATGGTTAAGCCGATAGAGGCCGACTTTGGAGGTCATAGGCGCGTCAGTTGTTTCTGCGACTCTCGGGCAGCGAAAATGTTGCTTCAAAGTTTGTATAGTTTGGGCTGTCATTCGTGGAACAGGATATATTTTCGAACATCAAATAACCAAGGTGCCTTCTTCAGGCGTATGAAGGAGCCAGTTCTCCCAAAATCGCAGACCGTCCAAGCCCTGCTCACGACACAGCACTCCTCGCTCTTCTGCCATTTCTAGCTCCTCGCTCGCTACTCCAACGCTCCACCCAAACCTCTCTGCCACCTCCTGTGCGGTGACGCCTCGCCCATACAGCCGCCAATCCCAAGTAACTTCAGATGCCGGTGGCTGGCGATGCAATTCTCGGAGCCATGAGAGAAGAGCTGCAACCGTCTTCTCGTCTGTTCTATCTCGCCCTTGCACTACAAGGAGACCACTTTTGAACATTCGCAGCCGGACAGGCAGCTTAAGCTTGTCCCACAGCCGTGCGGCTTTCTCGAAGTCCGTTGGACTTACTAATTCTACTCCGCCTCTTGCACGATTGAACACAGCCCACAGGTCCACGAGAGTCATGATGCCACCTTCTCTTTTGAGCACGCCTCTGGTGTCGTCTGTGAGCCATTCTGCCAGATTCCTAGATAGTTCCGACACGTATAGTGAATCAGACCCGGATCCAAGCATGTCTTTCGTCGTGACTAGACCAAGCGCAGACGCTGATTGCGAGAGAATGGAGCTTGCTTCCGAGTTTCCGTTGGTTCCCAAGTTGGCCTGCGATGCGAAAGACTCTGCCAGCGCAATAATTTCTTTTGCAGATGTCATGAGGGCTTCGAGATCTTCAAAGGCGGTTCCGATGACAAGCTCGTTGTTCTTCCTCTGCTCTAGCCCTCTCCGTTCGAGGCCTGCAATACCAACGACTTTTTGACGTTCGGGGTCTCGGGAGCTCTGGTCAGAACTTGAACTATATCCGTCGTCGAACGTCCCAGAGAGTCGATTAGGCTTTGGCACTGGTGGTGCACTCTGAAGAAGCCATTTCCGTTGCACCAAAGCGTTTTTGACTCGCTCAAAAAACACCTTCTCTCCCCCACCGCGGAAAGAGAACTTGACGCTCTCCACTGCCTCGTCTTGCATTGACAAGCCGGAAAGAGCGGGCCCAGGGCTCTCAGACCTAGCTGTACCTTTCGCTGACGCTAAACGCTTATCTTCTATTGATACCAAGGAAGCACCGCAGATTTCACAGGTGAGTAAAGACGGATGGTTCCGAAATGTACATCGAGGGCATGTGAACGAGGCGGATGAACTGCTTTGACCCAGGGGATTCCTTGAGCCCGAAGCCGAGGATGAGTCAAGTTTGTCATGATGTGCTCTCTGCGGTGTTGGTGCTAGCAGTTGGGATTGTCTGTTGGTCATTGAGGATATCGCCGCCTTCACCAAATGAACCAGCGGTGGCTTTATGCCACAAGCAAGACATGGCGGCAAGGGAGTGTGGGCATTCGCCGTGGCGGGATCGAAGTTTGATGGAACAGGATTTGAGAATGAGCAGATGGGGCATATCCAGGTAGCGCTGGCTGCTGTCGAAGGGGCAGGCGACGACGCGAGAGACCGCAAGGGACTCCCATTTCTCTCCGGGGGGGTAGAGCTTGAGCTGCTTGAGATGGTGCGACCAGTGGCAGTAGACGGACTCCGTGTTGAAAACGAGAGGCGTTTGGAGGGTTTCGGATAGAAAGTCACCTTCGCAGAGGACTTGAGGAACCCGGCCTACAGTGTCTTAGCAAGAGTGCTTCCAAGTCTCAGGGGACTGTCTCACATAGAACTCTGGACGCTCGACATCCTTGAGGTTTATGGCCACGGAGCGCTTCCTTGGTTCGTCGTTGTCTACATAGCAGACTCGGTGTGAAGTCAAGTATACATGGCCATTCTGGAACTGGGGAATCTTGAATTTCCTAGAGCAGCCCTCAGTCAGCACTGTAGTGGTCAGTTGCTCCATGAACCGAGCGACTCACCCCTCGTATAACCCAATAGAATCCTGCACTAAAAGTAGGGTCTCTTCCGGGAGTAGAGAGGGGCGCAGGGCAGTGGTGAGGTCAACCTGGTGGAGAAACATTCAGGACATGGGGTTTGGAGGAGCGTCGACCACGCAGAGGTCACAATCTCTATAGGGGATCAGTACAGTCGCTGGTGCTCTTGATCGGCGCCCACTGTAGAGGGCTTTAGTGGTATGTCGAGGTGAATGATGTGAATGATGCGCTTGCGGGATGCGACCCGCCAATCTTGTGTGACAGGATCCACGTGATGCGCCAAGCACTAGCCGCCTTCTTCCAAATCGCAGCCGTCCGCCTCACCGTCTCTCCTGCAACCTCCATCCTCCATCTCCCATCCACCATCATCCACTCTTCACAACCTGCTACTCCTGTTCCTTTCTTTCTCTCACAGTGTTTCTGACCCCCAGTACCATCACGTTACAGCCACAGCGCTCCCATATCGCTCTCTGCGGCAATGCTATCCACATCCTCCGGGTCGTGGCCCCAGCATTCATCTACCGCAACCACTGCCTTCAACGCCGTACCCGCCAGACGCACCCTCAACCAGCCCGGACCCGTTCCAGTGAGTCTGCCGCGCCCGCTTGCCGGAGAAATGCACGCTGAACGCCGCTTGCAGCCGCAGATGGCTCAACCACAACCTACCCCGAAGAACAAAGTCGACTGGTCCAAGGCAGTCCGTGATTATGTGCAACGTGCGTTCGCGCAAGAGAACAACGTCGCAGGCGTGTCGCGAGAGGAAGTCCAAGAAAAATTGAAACAAGTCATCACCGCGGTCGCTGAGAAGGGGATGATGGACGACGTGGACTGGGCGAACCATCCTCTCCCCCAGCAATTCGTGCTACAAGACAGGAGGAGGGCCCTAGGTGTAGACGGGCAGCAGAACGCGTGGCCCACCCTCGCGTCACACCTCGCTGACACGTTGAATGGACACACTAACAACTTATCATTATCTCCCTCTTCCAAGAAACGCAAGTCTACCGATGCATCGCTGACGGAACACCCCGACGACTCGGTACCGCCTTGGAGGAAGACTAACAACCGCAATATATTCGAAGACCGCATCACATACGCCAATCAAGGCCAGGCCAATCGTGTCGACAAGAAACAGCGCAAGAACAAGGAAAAAGACAATTTCATCAACTGTAAGTTCTCGCCAGCCGAGTTGGAAAAGCGCAGGCAGCGATTCGGGAATATTTCCACGGACGTCACACCTCCTTGGGCATCCCCACGGACCGATCCCGACGCTGAACTGAAGTCTGGCCCGGTGGTTGGCACATGCCAAGAATTGGAAAAACGATACTTTCGTTTGACTGCCCCCCCGAAGCCTGAAACTGTCCGTTCTTTGCCCGTACTAGAGCAAACTCTGGCACTCCTGAAGCAGAAATGGCGAGACGAGAAGAACTACGGCTACATCTGTGACCAATTCAAGTCTCTACGGCAGGACCTGACTGTCCAACACATCAGGAGCGCGTTTACCGTTGATGTGTATGAAATACACGCCAGGATTGCTCTCGAAAAGGGGGATTTGGGTGAGTATAACCAGTGCCAGACTCAGCTGCGGGCGCTGTATTCGCAGAACCTGGGAGGGCACCCAGAGGAGTTCCTGGCTTATCGTATCCTCTATTTCATTCACACGTGCAACCGAACCGACATGAACGACATGTTGGCAGACTTAACCCCTACAGACAAGAACGACCCCGCTGTCAAGCACGCACTGGCAGTCCGCTCTGCGCTGGCTTTGGGCAATTACCATAGGTTTTTCAGACTATATATTGACTATCCCAATCTGGGGGGCTATTTGATGGACAAATTCGTTGATCGCGAGCGTGTCGCTGCTCTCGCTAATATGTGCAAAGCGTTAGTATCACATTCTCTATCTCTGTTTTGATTGCTATGCATTTTGCTGACGGGCTGCTAGGTATAAACCCTTTGTCAAGTTAAGCTTCCTCTCTTTCGAACTCGGGTTTGAAAACGATCGTGCTTGTCTCGATTTCCTCGTCGAAAAGCAAGCCCAGCACCTGATCCAGGACATGAATGAAGGACTCTGTTTCCAGACAGGCAAAGCTGGGATGATGTTCGACCAGCTGCGAGCCCAAGCATTCGCCAAAATAGACATTAAAGGACAAATATAAGCCGTCTGAAACGACGTGGTAGGGTGTCATGCACCTTGCCGCATGTGCTTTTGTTCTTCCTTTACGACCGTCCTTCAATTTTGTTCATATCTCGATACGAATTCTCTCTGCGGCGACTCAGCGAGTTTACAAGTCTTCCCCCGACGGTCAGCTCCAACTATCAGCTTTACTTTCGTCTCCGCCTTCACTACTTACTGCCCGCTGCTACTGCATTACTTGGACTCGATTTGGCCTTGTTTCCGAGCCTGCCAAGCGGCAGCTTCGTTTCGGCAGGCTTCCACCGGCCGGATCGTGGGGTTGCCAGAAGCTTCCTCGGCCGCGTCCAAAACGTTTCATGTCTCGGGATGGCATTCTCGGCTCCGAGGACGCGATGTAGACAGGGATTGACACCCGATTCTACGCTGCTGCGCCACCAGTGCGACTATTGGGGGGAGGTCAAGGTGTCTTGATGCCCGAAGCAAGAAGGCCCCTGGGACCGAGCTCCTCCGATGGCTGGCTGGGTCTCTAAGTTGATGCGGGCGACGAGGACCGAACGGACGGGTCTATGTTTCCAAGCTCAGTGCCGTCCACGTGGGTCAGTTGCACCCTCGCATTGACACGAGTGACAAATCTACGGTATGCGTTTTCTGCTCTCTGGCGTTGGCATAATTCCCCTTTTGTTTGCATGGTTAGGTGGCTGTGGTTGGGTTTGGGCGATCTGTTCTCTTCTCGGCGACGATTCTCTGCTTCTGCGGTGCCTCTGTCGGCGCACTTCTCTTGCTTGCGCGTTGGACAAAGGCTGGGGAGCGGTGGCCAATAGAGGCAAGAGTTGGCTTTGGGTGGCGGTGATTCGTCGAGGACGCGACAGGAGGCTGGCTTTGAGTTCTGTGAGGGCCTGCTAGGGCTGAAGGAGCATGGACGAGTCTAATCCATGGTGGTGATGGCAGTCTTGGTGCGATGACAGGCTCGCGTGGTGCAACGGGACGGGTGTCAAGCATGCCCTGCCGGCTCAGCTTACGGCTTGCCCGCCCGCGCGTCAAGGCTGGCGCGTCGCAGCGTGTCGATTCCCTGCCGGCAGCGTGGTTGCTCCCGGGAGTCGCACGCGGAAGCGCTGCTCGCCACATGGTGTTGACACAGCGGCTACATAGATAGCAGAAGCAAATACCCTCATTACTGTTCGACCTGGCGCGGCTGCGCGCTGTGACTCGGTACTGACCGCCGCTAGCCACCCTCTCGCCATCGCCGGCCTTCTTCAGACGTCGCTGGCCACGTTCGCTCGTGGTACCTTTGTACCGGCGCGGACAGCAGTGGTGCAGTCGTCCAGTGGTGCAGTCGTCCAGTGGTGCAGTCGTCCAGTCGTCCAGTCGTCCAGCTCTCGTCGCCGCCGTGGCCGCCAAGATGGCCCCCATCCAGGCACAACGTCCTGGGTCCATGCTCCGGCGCGCAGAGACAAAGAGCACCGCTGGGCTAGTCGCCGTGCGTTGCAGCCACTCGAACGGCTGCCCAGCATCCCGCCTGCGCTTTCAAGGGTTGGCTGCAAGGGCCGGGCGCAGTTCATTTCTGCCGCCGTCGACGACTACGCCGTGCAGAGAAGGCCGTTTCCCAGCACCCAGCACCCATCAGCGCATCCGCTGCCTGTCCTGTCCGCTGCCCTTGTCCGCGCTGTCCAGGCGTCTGTTCATTTCCACCGCGGCCTGCCTCTGCGGCCTGCCTCTGCGGCCCAAGCACGCCAATCTTAGCTTTTCATCCTGGCTGCCTCTCACAGCCGCGCCTCACCACGCCCAACTCGACCTCCATCACACCTCTCGCCCTCTCCAACACCACCACGCATCGCGCAGCATCCCTAGACCGCGCCGACCTGATTCCGTCGCAGTGCCCGCCGACTCCGCGCTCACCGGACCGCTATGGTGAAGGTATGTCTGCCCCCCGCTAGCCAACCCCCCCACGTCCGCGCCAGCGTGCTGAGTCCTCCGCAGTTTCGAAGATCCATGAAGGGCGACAAGGCCGACAGCAAGCCGCACCACATCTCCATTCCACCCAAGGACGCAATCGCCATCGTGCCGCCCAAGAAGGTGAGTTGCAGCAAAATCCGCCTGCCCCGCTTTGCGCCCCGAGGTCGCGCCTTGCGACTCCTGCTGATGTCTGCCTGGCGCTCTAGGTCATCAAAGCCCTCTACGACTACACGCCGCCCGACTCGAGCCCGAGTTCTGGCTACCTGAGCTTCTCCCAGGGCGACTTCCTGCACGTCGTTGGCCGCGAGAACGATCCCGATTGGTACGAGGCGTGCAACCCGCTGCAAAACACGCGTGGCCTGGTGCCTGTGACATACTTCGAGCTGGTTGGCAAGACGGTGCGGGACAGTGGTAGCTCGACCAAGTCGATTCCCTCCAGCCAGCCCAGCGCGGGCCACGACTCCGGATACGCCGAGAAGACGCCTGCTGCTTCCGGCGCAGCCATCGCCGAGAACGACGGACCGAAGCCGATGCGCATGTCGAAGGCACTGGGAAAGGGGGCGGGAGTGGGGGCCATGGTGTATGGCATCGTGATGTACGACTTCAAAGCCGAGCGGCCCGACGAGCTGGAGGCCAAGGAGGGGGAAGCCATCATCGTCATTGCGCAATCCAACCCGGAATGGTTCGTTGCGAAGCCCATTACCCGCCTGGGAGGGCCCGGCTTGATCCCAGTGTCTTTCATCGAGATACGAGATATGACGACCGGACAAGCCGTTCCCGATGCCCAGGAAGCCGTTCAAAGGGCTGGAGTACCCAAGGTTGAAGAGTGGAAGAAGATGGCTGCTGACTACAAAAATGGCAGCATCCCGCTTGGGAAGCTCGAGTCCAATTCCGCTCAGTCGCTACAACAAGGAATGGAGCGAATGAGTCTAGGAAGCAAGAACCAAGCCGGCTACGACAGCAATGGCCAAGTCACTCCCGGGGTAAGTTGCTTGTCTAAGATGTCCTGTCCGTTAAAACTGACCACGGTTCTAGACTGGATCACACTCTCGGAGCGCCAGCGCATATCAGAACCAGCCGCAATATCGGGGTTCCGATCCTAACCTTCTAGCCCCCGTCAAAGCGTGTGTTCCTCGTTACTGTTTCGCAGACGACATTTTCTGGTTCATCATTGAGTGCCAGATGGAAGACGGGAGGCATTGGGAACTGCAGCGTCTCTACCAGGACTTCTACGACCTTCAAATCCAGCTGATTGCTGCCTTTCCAGTGGAGGCCGGCACAGCAGGCACCGGCGACCGAACTCTGCCCTTCATGCCTGGTCCAGTCACCTACGTTACCGACAATATCTCAAACGGCCGCCGCGCGAATCTTGACGAATACATCAAGAATCTGCTTAAGCTAGGGTCTCATATTACACAAGGGACGCTAGTCAAGACATTCTTCGCTCCTCGCCAGGGTGACTACGAGATCGACCCAGATGTAATTGCTGCAGAAGAGTACCGCATGTCCCAAAGCTCGCAGCACTCTTCCGATCCATCCCAAGGGGCTTCACGGGAGTCTTCCGCTGATCATCTTCCATCCCAAAATTCGCAAGCTGCCTACCCCAATTCGTCCAACTATCCGTCTCAGGCCAACCACCAACGGGGCCAAGCGTCTATGTCGGGCCAGCAACTTCAGAATCCGCAACATTATCGAACTACATCGGATCTCGCACCGCCAATGCTCCGCCAAACGTCCTCTCTGACGCAGAACTCGGCGACGTCGGCGAGCGCGGCACTCAAAATTAAAGTGTGGTTTGAAGAAGATAACTGCGTTGTTATCCGTATGCCACAGTCGTTCCGATACAACGACTTGTACAAAAAACTGCAGGAACGGAGGGCACTGGAAAGGCCGGATGAGGGTCGTTCTGAAGAGTTGGTCGTGGAGTACCGAGATGAGAGAGAAGAACGGTTCTACCCAATCGAAAATGACGAAGATCTAGCAATTGCAGTCGAACGGAATCCCAAGCTGACTCTTAGCGTGACTGCAATGCGGTAATCTCTGCCGTCTGCACGGTTTCCTTTATCATCTTATTCTACGTTGGAATGAGCAAAACACGAATCTCCGATTCTGGGTATTGTCCACGAAACGTCCGGGGCAGCTTGTAGTAGGATGTTGACGAGTCGATGATTTGATGAGCGCGGTGATCGATGGCGAAGCGACGATATTCTTTAGGTTTGTTCTATTCCCCTTTTCTGCTCTCACCTCATCCTCGGGGTTTCAAGATTTGCGTTTCCAGGGTGGAAGGCCACCTTTGTACCAAATGTGCCGATGAGAGTCGGAAAGCGGCCATTCATGGAATCTCAACTGGCTTCGGCTAGAGAGCTTCACAACACTACCAACGCTTTCTGTGGCTACAACCTGCTGTCTACCTTGTTCTGTGTTTACTCAAGCGCGCTTATTTGGATTATTGGTTTGGGGACACCGGAGTCTGGCGAACGGCGTACCGAGCGTTTTCTGCACCTGGTATGTACTGGCCTCCTCTTAGTGCGCAAGTATTTTGTGCTACTTGTTTCCATGAGCACTCTGCTCACTTTCTTTCTTCTCTTATACAGGTGGAGCGTTGGCTTCACGGCTTATGGGTGGTGGAACTGGGAGGGTAGGAATAGCTGGATAGGTCAGGATACCAAAGGGGTTCGTCCCATTTATCTTATTTCGAGTTGCTACTTCTTTACTTGTGTATGGGGGTCGTGCTGTGTGAGTCATTCGAGGTGGTTAAAAGGACCAAAAGGTTGGATTGCGATATCTCTGTCTGGTGGCATCTCTTACGAGTACTTAACAGTTTGAAATCTATTGGTATCTCATGAGAGGTTGCGATCAATTGTGATACACATCTACGCAAGTCATCGACAAAAAGCAAGACTTGAATTTGGATTCCTACTACACAAAAAAGCAAGCACCCTCCACTCACAGCAGTGATGATTCTTTGTGGTGCAAGGCGTGGACTAGAAATAGTCCAGGTATTGGACATTTCGAGGATTACAGTATCCTGCGCTCCGGAAAGTATATGCCGTCCATACGGCCCTAACTTAATCGGAAATAGAGTCACTAATATGCCTCCAAATGCATACAATTACCGACTCCTTCCTGGGTCGTTCTGTGCATCAAGAGCCGGTTAAAAGCACTGAATATAGAGTGTAGTAATGCTCTCAATCGAAAAGTAGCATGGTCAAGCAGCAGCCAATTTCTTTGTCTCTCCCGCCCCCTATCCACGTCAAAAAGGAACAATAGTATATCTCTAGAGCTCCACCCAACCTATATACATCTGAACTTCTTACATTCACCTCTTGCTCCACGAGCAAAAAAAACACGAAAATTACTTCCGTCGCCGGGAATCGAACCCGGGCCTTGCCGGCACTTGACCAAGTGTGACGACTCTCGATGAGAGCGGCAAATCCTAGCCCCTAGACCACAACGGATTGAAGGACAATGAAAATTTATCCATATAGATACTATTCCAAAGAATGTAGCAATCACGAACGCATCCAAAACTGCCTTGGTTGAGGACGATGAATGAGAACTCAAATACCTGGGACGAATAGAAAGGTGGGACAGCGGGGCTCGATATTCTAGAGTGGGGCAGCGTAGTGGACTTTTGTCAACCGGGCATCTAGATTCCTAAATATTCCTATATTTGACAAAACTACCGTAGCACTCCCCACTCCCCGTATCTGATGTTGGCCTTGCCAATTCACTATCACCTCCGACTTCACGATGACGATATAGTCCAGCTTCTGCAGCAGCATACCACGACCGAGACCAGCGTTGAGTCCTAACGATTAATTTGGTGCTCCCGGAACGAAACATGGCCTCCGGTTTTCGACTAGCTATTTAGCGCTCATCCCACAGTGATCAGCCAAGGCGCAAACTTCGTCAAATCCTGACGTCTCGTTTGGCGCTTCACGAACGTGTCGTTGCCTTGTATTTTCTGATGGCCGTCCAGAGGACCCAGGACGGTGGCAAACAGGCGTAGTATTAACGTTAAATCTTTATGCTCGATATTATGCTTCGCGAACATTACATTACACTGTAACTATCTCTAATAGACAACCAGGGTATCTCTAACAGTGGTAGACAAGTGTGGAGACATCCTGAATCCTCACCCTCGCTTTGGCGCCTCACGAACGTTACGTTATGTATGAGTTGCAGACAGACTTTCGGGGCACCTCTGACAGTGACAGACGAGTGTAAAGGTAACCTATAATCCTCCCACTCGATTTGGCGCTTCACAAACGTTGCATCATACAAATGTCTTAGACGGACTTTCGGGGCACTTCTAACAGTGGTAGACGAGGGCGAAAATATCCTATAATACTCATCATACCCGATTTAGCGCTTCAAAAATATTACATTATATATGGATCTCAGACACACTATCAGGGCACCTCCACAGTGCTGAACGAGTGTGCCGAATTCTCACGCCTGATTTACGGCTTCACGACCGTTACATTATGCCCAAATTCAGATGGTCTTCCAAGGCTCCTCCGACAGCGACAAAGTAGTGTAAAATATGACGAAAACTCACGTCTAATACATTACCTCTGGGCTTCAGATTAGTATACGGGGCATGTCCAACAGCGATACAAAGGTGCTAAATCACGTTAAAAGACTCGTGCCTAATTTCGCGGGTCACGGATATTACATTGCCTCTAGGCTCTAGGTTTGATTCGGACCTCCCCAGCCTTCGCATTACCTTTTCGATCTAGATACAGACCCCCGTCGTGTAGGGTAGTAAAATAAAGAAGTTGCTACGATCTTTTAGTCTCGAGTTTGATTTAGGACGGACGGTGTGCACTTTACATCTCATTTCAACTTTCGTCAGTGGGTGGCAGAGAAGTGTCAACACCTAATGTTCTAGCACCTCATCTACATTGTCGCAGTATCCAATACATAAAAGAGTCGAGATTACCCCTTGCCCAGAGCTGGAGATCTACCCCACGTCTCAAATCATACAAGTTCCACCATTAATAGCGGGAACGTGAAATATCACCAGAAACCTCCTTCTAAGCCCCTTTATGGGCTCCATCCCTTACCTCCGCGGCTCTACAACCTCTCCCACCACACCGGCAATATAACAAGCACTGACCCCCAAAATGGCCGTCTTTGTCACTGAAGCGGCCCCACCGTGTCCCCGTCTCTGCCATCTCCCGTGCCGTCTTCTCCCATAACGGTGGTGTCCACCTCCATACCGCTCACGATTTCTCTCGTGAGTTTCTTCTTCATGCTGATTCGCATGGCCTTTCCCCCTCAACTGCGCAGCAGCCTCAGAATCGAGAGGCTGATCATCAGAAACAGGCGAGAGCTGATTATAGTTCACGAAGCCAGTCGGACTCGCATAGTTGCCGACGGCGGCTTCTGGAAACGGGGCGGTTGTGCCATCGACGGGATTTACATCCGGGTGTTCCTGTTTCTGAACGTTCGGGGGTGGCTCAATATCATTGCCAGTGTCCCCAATTGGCTCCTCGAGGGCCACAATATCCGGTGTCTCGCGTAGGACAAGCAAATTCGCGGAGGCTAGGACTGGCTCGAAATTTGTAGGCAGATAAGGCACGAATTTGGACGGGTTCGAGAGCATGGATAACGCATCGGGCAAGCTGAGGGAGGACTCCTGGTAGCCGGGTCGAGGTGGCGTTGTGGTGATGGAGGTGGTTAGGATGTCGTTGCCGGAGTCGTAGGCCAGGACTTTGTAAACGATCTTGGGTTGAGGTTCTGTGTCAGAGGTCGGAGGCCTCGAAATCGGGTCCTCTACACTGACTGTCTGCTTATGCTGTATTGAGTCGGGGGGACCCCTGGACTGTGCAGCCGCTGCACCAAGAGATTCCTCACTTTCTGAGATATTGGGCCTCGATTTCGGTGTTGAGGCTATTCGGTCCAAAGCAGACTGTAATCGGGGTGCTGGCAACGGCGATGGTTTCGGAGGGTCTAAATCAGGTGAAGGTAAATTGTTGTTTGACTGCCTGAGCACGGGGTCTAGGGTCTCCAGAGCCCGCTTTAGTTCGGCTATTTTGGCATTGAAATCGGTGATGGATTGGGGTACCGAAGCGACCGACTCCCCAGCATTGTCTTGGTCTCTTTGCATCGAGGACAGCGTATCCAGGGCCTTGGATATCTCGGCGGCCTTGGTAGCATAATTGGAAATCGATTTCGGTATCGAGGGACTCCCAGAATCTGCAAGCACAGTATCTTTACCAGCAGACACAGCTCCAATCTGCGCTGCTGGTTCAGAAGACAAAGCACTAGGAACAGAATTCACGGAGGGAGATGACGAGCAGGAACTGCTACCTTGGGTTTGTGGAATGTCCGTCGTATTCTTCACGTCTCTCGTCAAATCGTACAGTTTTTTTTCATGATTCCCATTGCTCCCCCTCGCCAGCCCACCCACCCCCCACAGATCACTATTCACCCCTCCTCTCTCTTCCCCCCGCCCCAACACCCGGGGGCCACTCCCCGCAATCTCAGTCTCCCTGTTGAACTGCGTTAGTGATGGCCTTTGAACTGTGTCATTTTTAGCTTTGGCTGGCGCCGAGGAACAAGCCTCGGACATTCCAGTTTTCCAGTTCGTCCAGGATGTTAATGTCTTTTTCATGCGCTCAATTTGCAGCATGTAGTCATCATGCTGCGTATTGGCGCATATATTATTCGAACGAACCTTATTTTTGTCGCCCTCTTCGCCCTCGTTGGGGTCCTTCTTCTTCGCCTCCTGTATGTCAAAATTAGCATTTCTTATCTCTCAATTTCCACCCTCGAGATTTTACATACCTCCCTCTCTGCCAGTTCATCCTCTCCGGGGGCCTTCACCCTCTTTCCCACCCCCCCAGCCGCAGGTACCATCCGCTGAGATATCGGATCGTAGACACGGTCCGTTGGTTCCGCTTTCTCCTTTTCCGGAGCCATCAGATCAGAGTACTTCTTCTTGTATTCTGCCAGCTCTTCCGGCTCCTTGAAGGTGCTTCCGTACCTCTCTCGTGATTGTCTACGAAGCTCGGAAACCGGCTCAAATTTGGGTCCCATCATGGGTTCGCCCGTCTCATCAGCAACTCGCCCGGCCTTGAGCATCTCATCCACGAACCTTCGAACCCGACTCTCTAATTCAGCCTCTAGAACGGGGTCGCCTTCCTTATGATCCTCATCGAAGAGTGCCTGTCCAGTAGCATTACCACTGAGCACTTCGACCACCTTTTTGAGCGCGATTTGAGAGCATAGGTTGGAATAGTTGTTAGCAAACTCTTCAACGAATCGGACAGCTTCCTGGACCTCGCGGTGGAGGGTTTCCAATTCTTTTGCCTTTATCTCGTCTCTCATGTTCCGGTCCGGGGTCGCTTTGACCCATTGGTACCATTCTCGCTTTGCCATCAACGGGTTGGAGCTGCCAAAGAGACCCTGGAAATACTCCTTATACGCCAAGCTCCGCCACTTCATCATCTTCTGGAGTTCATCCCATTTGGGCTCGATCAGATCCTTTGGCTTGTAGATGTACCCCTTACTCGTACCATTTCTCCACTCTTTGCCTTGGAGACGATTGACTTGTGAGAAAGAGCGGCCTTGAGCGCTGACCATGGAGAGAGGGAGTGTCGCCGGGCGTAGGGTTAGAGGGCGGGTCCACGTAGCGGATGCAAGCATTGATTGAGACATTGTTCCTTTATTGCTCAGGCTAGCGGACTTCGAAGAGAATTATGGGATTGTATTTTGTGGATGTGAGGGTGTAATAGGAGAGATGCGCCCAACCGAGACAAGTGTTATTTGAATCGTAGGCGTCGTTTCTGGAAGCCGAATCTCTGTAAGACATCGTCAGCACTCCAGTCAAAGAAACTAAATGAGTGGAAAGAGCTGTGAGATGATGCGCTTGTCAACTTACCAGTGTTGATCGCAATACCTGCGGTGTCAAAAAGTCATGATATGCTATCCAAGACGTGTCTCAATAGACAAGGCGTGCTATCCAAGTCCGAAGATCACAGTGTGGCTCGAGGAAACAGATATAAGGAGACGTCGTGCCGTTAGGCGCGGCTCGAATGAAGTTCGCAGGAGCTGATAATCCTCGAGGCGCTGAGCGAGAGATAGACTATCTGATGCCCGGGAAGTCTTACGTAAACCAAGGAGAGGTGTTTCGGGTGGTCAGAGTGTCGGCGAGCTTGAAGAGGTGATGCTAGCCAGCGGGATGAAGTTGCTGGTGTTGAGAGAGAGATGTCTTCAGCGCGAGGAAGCTCACGACAGGGAACTGCGTGCTGACGGCCCCTCAAGCTTGTCCGCTTATGAGGAGAGGTTCTTGTCTAGGGCGAGACAGCAAGGAAGGCGCAGAGTCTTGTTGTCGCGGAAGCTTTGAAGATGACGGCTGCAAAGATGAGTTGTTGCTGTCGGAGGAGGACGTAGTTGTCACGGTCAAGAAGCTTTGAATCCGAGGATCGTGCGCGAACAGCCCCTTAAGGCTAACTCCTGACAAAGAGGGACTCTTGTCTTCAGCCAGACACTCAAGGACGCGCGGTGTATCGAGGTTGTGTAAGCTCTGACGATGGTGGATGAGGGAGAGGGTGGAGAGTTGAAGCGGGGGACTAAGGCAAGGCGGGCACGGCGGGGTGCTCGGATAGATGCACGTCAATATGAGACATCCTGAAGCATCGCGCCCTGTCTACAGCTTCAAACGACAGTGCAGAATGGATGCGTGCAGCTTCACTGTCTCCAGAGATGCGTCTACGCTCAGAGTCTCGAAGTGTTCATCCTGTTCTCCGCATGAGTTGGAGGAGCTCAAGCTTGTCCCTCCGTCGGCTACCCCCACGACGGATGCCTGTCACTCTCCACACCAACGACCCTTGGACATGGCGCGGCAGCTAGCGCCTCGATCCGCACGATCCATAAATTCCGTATGGTACAGGGTGCGTGGAGAGCCGGCAGATGCCAACGTCCTCTCGTCGTGGGGGGGACGATTCAGCTTCTCTAACGCAAGAGAGATCTCAATCCATTGCTCTTGTGGCTGTACTTACGATGCTAAACGCGCAGCTTATCCAGATACTCTTGGGTCTACAATAGGAAGACCGCCGAGAAGAACTTCTCATCCACAAGACAAACATCCACGACAAACGGGTATAGGCCAGAACAGCGGCGACACATCCACACAAGAAGCTCCCCAGCTGCCGCCGACACCTCCTTTCCTCCTCATCCATTAGTACAAGAACCGAAGATCGTTGAGCCAGCTAGAAACAGAAGAAAACAACGTCCGGGGATCGCTGGACATCAGCGAGCGTACCTCCATCACCCTGGGGCCACCAAAACCTCCTTTCCTCCTCATACATCGATACAAGAACTCAAGGTCGTTGGGACAGCTGGAAAACAGAGGACGGCAGCATCTGGGGTCCACTGGGCGTTAGTGAGAGCTTCCTCTATTTTATAGGGCCTGCGGCACCGCTTTCGCTCCTCATCCATCAACACAAGAACTCACAATAATCGGGCTAGCTGGGGATAGAGACAACAACACCGGAGAGTCGCTGGATATCCGCGAAAGCTTCATCCACAACATTCAAGACATCGGCACCACCTTTGCTCCACACCCATCGATACAACCTCTCAACTGTCGCGCGAGCTGGGAATTAGGGGAGGAGGACCCCCAGATACCACTGGGCAACAATGAGAAGTCTGCGAAGCAGATTGTGTTAATCCGTCATCTCGGGACGGCTCAGGGCCCGGGGAATAGTTCTGGTGATAGTATCGGACGGTAGACTAAAGGGAAACCCGAAAGAATACACTACTCATAGAAAGCAAGACCATCTGCAAAGTCGAAGGAGACACATTGCATTGGCTGGAGCTACCAAAAAGGGGGATCACTTATCGCTGGCCTGCCTTGTTGACCAGACCACACAATCCAGTCTACTCCTTGGAAAGACCGAGGAAATAAATTATAACCAGCTGGCAACAAAGACTCAGAAGCGACAGTGGGAACAGAGCCAACAGACCTCTTTCCACGCAAACCATACACAGTAAACATCTGCCTCGACCGGCGTAGACCTATCTTTATAAAGTTACCAAAGGGGCTTGACGAGAAGAACGAGAAGTCGACCGGATCCTACCTGCAGGCCTCCGTATATCAGCTACAATACAGGTAAATTGAGAGATAGAAGGTTCGAAAGCCACGAGGGTGCTGCTTTGGCCATAACTAGGGGGAAGAACACAGGAATGCAGCTGCGCCGGCCCTAGTGGACAAACAGAATTGAATGGCTGACAGCTGGGTCAGAGAGGATCGAACAGTCTGCAAGGTCAATACAGCGTTTTTACGGAGCTCAGCTTTACGCATACGACGGACTAGCTAGGCGGGATACTGTGATTAGAAGATCGATCTTTCAAGGTGCTGGAAACTGAGATATTCAAACCCGAACGGATAAAGACGAACAATAGGATAGGCTTCTACGAACTCGAGTGAGCTGAATGATCCAAATTCTCCTGATTGTTGACTGGTATAGTTGACTTAACTCGCAGCTAGTCTCGGAAGAAAGATATTTACAGTTCTTTCGTACTAGAAGCTGACCGTAGCAAGGAAAGTTAATAGGCTTCGACATGTCACGGTTTAATCACACAGACATCAAGCAAACACGAGTCACAACCAGTCCAAACCCAGCTTAACTCTGCAGCAGCTTTTTATATACACTCATCTTCATATTTTTAGTTCAAAAATATACCCCCCTAAATTGGACACAGAAATATCGCTCACCACCCTCGCGTTGTGGGGTATAGTTCATAAAACCACTCAGAAAAGACCGGCACCCTCCCATTTCAGACAATCCACCTTTCAAACATTCACAGGTGTTTCCACATCCACGTCATTGCCCGCGTGCTCTTCATCAACCATAGACCCCCTCCGGACTGCAAAAGCATCATCCTCGCCACATACGCGACCATTCCCAAAGATAAAAGAGACATGAGTAGTGTACAACAGAACAGAACACCCAACTCCAGTTAACAAATCGATTACCCACCTCCGCTGCACCCAATCCTTCTTTTTACATACCCGCTCCCGGAACGAGCATATCAATACACTTGGTCAGTAAATTGCTCGCCTCATGCAGCAACTCCCACCGCGTCTTGCGGAACATGTCGCGCATAAGCACGAGTAGACCCAAGCACGCATTTCGGTTCTGCATCTTAGCCAAATCATCTGGCGCCCGGACATCGCGCAGAGCTCTGCGTAGGAAGATCTGCATATCGCGCACCTTGTCTTCGTGCGTTGGCAACCGATACGCCGATTTGATCGGCCCGTCGAGCGCGTAGCCGTAGCTCCACACAATGAGGGTCGCGAAGTACAGCACCCAGGGGCGATTCAGAAGACAGTCGTCGCGAGCGTTGTAGTCGAACGGGAGCGTACCGGTGGACGACGCGGTGTGGCTGCTTTCGTCCGGCACGAGGACTTTGGAGAGGAACTGGAGCGCGTAGAATGTCGCGTCACGGGCACGAGCTGTTGGCGCCCATGTCTCCTTCATGCGCCGCTGAGCGCCGTTGTAGTCTTGAGGCGTTATGGATCGGCCTAGTAACCTTGTGGCACCAGCGTAGATCTGGCAGTCCACGATATCGACATGCATTGCCATGTGAGCCATGTGGTGGAGAACTGTGCGACTCTCAAAGACGTTGTCCTCGTCGTAATGGTGGTAGGACTGGTATGCATTGGGTCCGTCTTTGTGCCCTGCGAGGGAGGTGTCGAAGTCCTGTTTCCAGAAGTCGAATGCTCGAGTGAGGGAGCCTCGCCATTTGTCGCGGCCGCCTAGTGCCTGGGATACACCTAGGCTGCTGACTTGAAGGTCTCGTTGGTTCATATGCCAAGAGACGGACAACAAACCCGCCATGAGGATCGTCCTTCCGAAACTGTTAGTCCGCACGCTAGTTCCGTTCAGCGTCTTCTTCAACCCGTCTAGGAATGTGACGGGCTTGATGCCGTTCGAGTGGAGGCTGGCTTCTACTCGTCCAACCTCTGAGCTGCTCGTCGCAGACCAAAGTGCTTCATCACAGGGCAGTGGCAACCGCATCTCGTGAGCAACCATAACGGCGGAATGACCAAACTGGCTCGATTAGTGAAGGCTCTTACTCTCTCTATTAGGGATTCGACTTACCATAGTTGCATGAATCGAGTCCATGACGAAGGCAGCAAATGCGGCTCGTCTTGTGGCCTCATTAGTGATCCAATGGTTCCACCATTCGTCTGGAGTATGACTCCCGGAAGGATAGCTGCCATTCACCCCGACCTTTGCGTCCTTGACGCTGGGTGGTGAATCCATGGCCGACCTTCCAATTAACGAAGAGCCTCTCCGCATCAGCGTAAGCGTGGTGGCATGATGTATATGTGCTCTCTCATGTAGCGGACGTGTCGAGTACATCTTTTCGAACATCTCAAGTAACAAAAGTGCCTGGAACACCCACAGCTTGGCTGGCGGGCGGAAATCTGCGTCCATCTGCAGACAAAAGTCAGTCAAAGTACAGGGAGCGGTAGATATCTGATGCTTACGAATATCTCCCAGCGCAAGTGCCACGCTAAGAAGTTTGATAGCTGAGAGCACGCTTGCGCTTTTTCATGTCCGTAGGTCTTGTCTAAGCACGACGCACCCAAGGACATCATGGCTAACAGCAAGAGATCAGGGCAAGATGCCGCATTGAATGTAGGTCGATGCAAAATCGGCAGCTGCGGATGGAAGTGAATCCAGAATGAGCCAATGTAGGTTTGCATCATGTTCAGGCTGAGAACATGATTGTCGTCGTCTTTGTTGCCATCGCAAATCTCGTCTTTCTGCTTCTTGACAGGCGCATGATCCGTTTCGTTGAATCGGCCCATGATAAGATCCAACAACTGTTGTCTCTTGTCCTCCGAGAGCGCTGATTCTGGCAGGCTAGTGTCCAGAATACTGTTGACAGCCATCGGATGCTGCGGAGGTGCAGGTTGGTTATAGTAACCGCTTACTACGGGATCGTAGTTGAAGTACGGTGCTTGCAGGCCAATCTGAGACGAACCGCCCATTGCGTTTCCAACACCACCGCCGCCAGCGGGATATCCCATCGGAGAGTTGCCAGGACCACCGAAGGAGTTGGAATCGTTGAACAGCCACGCCGCGAAGTCGTCCGCCATGGCAAAAGGAGAGCGGCTGTATCCGTCGCCGCCAAACACGGGCATGGCATACGACGGTGTTAAGTTCTCCACGAACTGCGCTTCAGAGACGCCATTCATCCTCGTGTCTCCGGAGGCCGTGTTCTCCATTCCGCTCATTGGGGTCGGCCCAGAGGTGCCGTTGTAGGACGAAGTGTCATGGTCACGTGCCGCTGGAGCTTGGGTCATAGTTGCGTACTCTGGAGGTGGCAGAGAGGAGAACGGTGGAAAGCTCTGCTGCGTCTGGTATCCCGAGGGTGACTGTGACGGGTACGAACTGTTGGCGGGTGCCGACGTGGGGTAAGACTGTGCGGGCGTGGTGGCCGAGTTGTATGGCGAGTTCGAGCCGTAAGACGTCAAGTTCGACGTCTGGGTCCGCAAATCGGGCCGCGAGAAGTTGGTCCCATTGCTCATATGCGGCGAGACCTGAGGCCGGACGTTGTTGAAGGACCCAAAGCTCGACTGCCGTGGATGAGGCGGCCCAAACGTCCCGGGGGGGCGAGAGGCCATATCGTAGGGCTTGGCATCAGGCCCACGGTAGTTGTCGTCACTCCGCGCGCGGTTCAAGGGATTGTGCACCTGCCGCGCGGCTATATCAGAGGCTGGAGAGTGCAGCGTCGGGTCCAGCGGCGGGGAGATCTCGGAACCCGCAGTGCCTGAGCTGGGCACGGCAGACGCAGGAGACTGCATCGCGAAGGATCGATCCGGTGGTCCCTGCTGCATCTGCAGGGCGTCAGTGGGAGCCCTAAAATCCCTCAGGGGGCTTCTTGCCGTGGGGGAGGTCTTCACCATCTTGCCAAGGTGCCCTGGCTGGTTCTTCGGCGCCATAGCGGCCGTCACAATGGGGTTGATATTGTGCATGAATGTGTCCTTGCGCAGCAGCTGCGAGCCTCGCGCCGTGTGTCTCTCCTTGTGGCGGGCACACAGGTCCTGGCGGACGAAGGAGCGGTGGCACTCCGGAAAGTCGCAGTGGTAGATCTGCTTTGGATTGTCTGTGAAACTAGGTTAGACGTGTTTTCCACGCGAACGGCGGGAAGCATCTCGCCTCCCCGAGACATATGCTGCCCTGAGAGCGGCTCTTGAAGCCTGCCGCCGGCCTGCTATCCACTTTACTTCTGGGGGTAAAGTCTGCTAAAAGGAAGGAGAGAGACTTACGGTTAAGCTGGTGGCGGTATAAATGCTCTGCCCTCGAATAGCTCTTTCCACAGCCTTCGTGTGGGCACTCAAACTTCTTGTCCAGGCCTTTGCGGCTCCTCCTGCGCTTCCTCGAGGAGCCACCGGCCTCGCCGCCGTCTTCGCCATTGTCACCGTCCATGATGTCTCCGCCATCCTCCCTGTTGCGCCGGCGGCCGCGGTTCTCGCCAGGCGACGAGGGCGTCGGCGGCTCGACCTGGGAGGTGTCCATCTTCTGGGGGAGCATCGAGTCCATCTTTCCAAAATCCGACGCGTGCGATGTATGCATGGAAAGAATTTGCGCCGTCATGGTAGGTCGTCAATGCGCCGAGTCGCAGCCGGTCGAGGACTAGGTAACCTCACCGAGGGCTCCCTGTGGTGTGTTCGCGCGGAAGCGGTCGCGTGCAATGCTTACGAGTCGCGGGCAGTGGGATTGCAGTCGTCTTGGGGTTGAGGCTATCGGACGTCGGCGAGCATCCTCCAGGTATGTGGTCCGGCGGTTGCACAGCAGCAGATGGAACTCGAGTCGAGACGCTGTCAAACACCCCGGGGCGATGGCAGCGGAGATCACGGGATAGTCAGGGAAGCGTGTGGTGGTGTAGGGCGTGGAGGGGTTTGGGTCGCGGAGTGCTCCGTAAGGTGCTAGATGACCTGCAGCGACACGGGCGTCGGCCTGGGGAGAGCGGGATGATGGGCGTCGCCGCGAAGAGTGTTCGAGGGCACTCGAGGCGTGGCAGCGTCGTGGGAGCTCGCGGTGGCCAAGAGCGTGGGATTCAGCAGACAGAGGGCGAGAAGGATGGGGGCAGCGGCCTTCTCAAGGCTGCGGGATATAGGCGGCGGCGCGCAGTCTGACCTGCGATTTATTGCAGCGCTTGGGATCTCCGCCGCAGCCGCGATAACTGCTCACTGCGATCGCCGTCTGGGGTATGCCGAAGGGTAGAGCAGAGGCACAGTCTGGCCTGCACGCTTCTGCGGTGTCTCGATGCGAAGAACAGCTTTTCGACGCACCCCTCAGCAGGCGCAAAAAAAGGGCGGAGGCAGAGGCAGAAGGCCACCAAACGGCGTCGTCTCTCGTGAGCCGTGCCGCGTCTGCCGTTGAAGCCCAGAGCAGCCACACGAGGCCAGTGCGGAGAAGCGTGAGCAAGGTCACGAGCATTGGCGTGGGGGCGTTTCGCACCGTCGATGGAGGGGAGCTGGTAGTCTGTTGCTCATGTCATGTGTGCGGAATAAGAGAGGCAGGCGGGTGGCAAAGGCGAACCGAACTGCAGAAAACACTTCCAAATCTTTCCTACACAGAGCAAGGAAAAAGCTTTCAGACGCCATGAGTAGCTTTTCGCTCCACAGAAGAATACGCCCCAAAATTATCAGCATTATCTGATGGTATGGTGTAGAAATATAGGGCAGTGATGGTACCGACCCTGTTGGCGCGTCCGCAGCATGCATAGTTTAGCGAGGCGCTGTCTATTCTGCGAAGCACTACAAGGCTTACACGTGACTTGGCGGCCCCTCAGAGTAGAAGTCGCCGCGCGTGGGGGCTTTGTCAACGCTTCTCGTAACTCGAGGAAGCTCAATATCGCCTCGCATGGCCGTGCTGCAACCTCTCCGCTCTCCTGCCCTGAGCGCCCTCACCAAGCACCCTGCACCTGCAGGGCTGCAGGCCTTGAGCACGGCGTCGTCGACGAGGCACCATGGACTGTCCATCCCCTCTCCATGTCACAAAGGAGCAGTCTGCATGTCTCCCGGCTGCCGGCATGCGGTCGCCCATCCGCAATCCGCTCCCCCAGCCGCCAGACCAGGCGTTCTGGTTCTCGTTCTCGAACAAAAGCACCTCGGGCCTCGAGCATCGGCATCTGCATCGGCGTCTGAACTGACAGTCACACCAGCGCGTGTTTCCCTCAGCAATTGGCCCACACACCGGATCCCCTACCAGTCCGGCCCGTTACCAGCAGCAGGGCGTTTTGCCCAGCCCAATCAGGCATTCTTACCCCAGACTTCCCTGCGGGCCGGGGTGCTGTCAGAGGCTGCAAGCTGGTGTGGCGTCTGCGACGTCGCCAAAGCGAGCGTGAGGGCGACCAGGCCACGGTCTGTCAGCGAATCCTCGACCTCGAGAAAACTCTTGCCTGCTCCTGGCTGCAGACGACATGATTTTCGAGTTCCGTGACGCTGCCCCGTGCAATCTACGGCGTCTCAAGAATGAGAGAGGGCGCCATGGACGAGAGCTGAATGCTGCGTTACGCCTCCGATCCTGGCTCTGGTGGTGGAAGCATGTAGGATCAGATAAAGCCATAAATCAACACCCCAGCGGAACATCCAACTAGCCCAGCTCCGCCAGCGTGCTCCATCAGCACCGCTTCCAGTAGCCTCCACTGGCCTCAAGACGGCAAGCCGCAGTTGATGGAGCGTTGATGGCACATCGGAACGTCGAAGCCGCACTTGCCAGCTACTGCACACCTCACACCAGACAGCATGAGCAACACCTCATCCGGCAGCGCCAGGCACCTCGCCGACGTCGTCATGCGCAACATGCAGCACCCTCGCGCCCCCGGCTGCATCGTGCGCTCGCGTCCGCCAAAGTCTCTGCGCTCCCCTGCATCACGGCCTTGTCCACCTTCTTCATCCATCCAAGACGCAACACGCAGCTCCACCTCATCATCCCAAACCCAGGGACCCGCCTCCAGCCTCCTGGCGCGCCTCATCCCAGCAGACCACCGCACCGGCGCCCCAGCCCAGAAGAAGCAATTGTGCGAGCCGTCGGTCGACGCCAGAAAAGCCCGCAGCAGCCCTCTCGCCATCCGCTTTCAGCCTCACGTCGCAGCCGCCCTGCAACCTCCGCTGCCCCTCTCACCGATCATCGGCACGGCGAACTGCTGTCCCGCCGCGGCGAGCCAATCCGACCGTCCCCCTCAGCACCACTGTGAAAGGTTAAAGTCGACGGCCAATCACGCCAAGCGGCAGCAGCAGTCATCTCCAGAACTTTGATTAATGGAGTAAAGCCAGCCTCGACTTCCCGTAAGAAGAACGTCGTGGTTTCACCCGCAGACACACTCATGCAACGCACGCCCGCAGCACGGCACTGTGGCACTGTCCACGTAGCTTGCAACGCGTGAGCGATGACGATCGATGCGAGGTCCCTGGTTCGCGGATGGCACGTGGCAACCTGCTGCAATCGGATTGAGAACGGAAGTCACTGAGTCCACAGCTGCGCTGCTTAGCGAGTCTGGGGAGAGTGGGGTCGGGAAGGATGGGTGCTGATCCGCTATCCATGGATGACGCAACGGTACTGCATGTTGCGAAGTGGTGTTGTGCACCAGGAAGTGCAGCATGTGAACACCTGAGCCTGAGAACACTCTTCACCGCTCTAAGGACAATTCGAATCTTCTTGCATTGCGCAACATAGCGCTGGGAATGGTAAGACTAGCGCTGTTGTTCCATGCTCAAGGAGTTGGTTTCCAGCTAAGAGTGGATGCCCTGGAGGCGAAGCTGGACATTCCACGGATACACTACTTCGCTGTTTGTAGGGTATGAATGAGTTTGATTATGCTGTATTCTTGGAAACTTTGCCTCAGAACTCTAGACTAACGATATGACCCTACCTCTCCAGCCTTGGGATACTGACCTGCTAGCATATCATGCTAAAATACTCAAAATTACAGGGAAGAAGCGTATATTCAGGACATTACACAAGGGGACGCGTGGATTAGAATCACAATCTCATCATATTACACAAAAACGCCTAACGCGCATTAGACTAGACAAGATGTGATCAGCCCTCAAACAATGCCGTACTTATACAAAACATTCTATATACCAGAAGCTGACTTGACGTGGTATCAAAGGCTCCGAAGAATGTTCATCAAGCGCTCAAGCGCCACAACCTTAGAATCCCTAGTAACAGCATTGCATCTACCAAGCATCCCGGTAATACTATTACATGTCCCCATCCCAAGAGGGCAATAGGAACAGCTCACACATCGTCTGTCTTCACCTCAGCCGCCTCATCTTTCGTCTCCACATGCTCCACTGTCGTTGCCACGACCTCGGCCTTCTCTCCCTTCTCGTCCTCCGCTTCCGCCGCCACTGGTGCGACAGGCGCTTGTTCCGCGTCTGCGACCCCACTCTCATCGTGTTCTTCCGCTTTCGGCAGCGGATCTGCCGTCTCGGACAGCGGTTGCTGTTCCGCCTCCGCGGCAGGGTTTTCAACGACCTCTGGCTCGGGTTCTGGCGTTGGGGCAAGCTGCACCTTGTTTTCGGGCTCTGCAGGATCTTGGTCTTGATCTCCCGAGGCTTCGATTGCCGTCATGGGGGTCGGCGGCTCGATTTGCTCCTCTCCTGGCTCTAGCTCCTCAGGTACGGGGCGGTTATCTGGTTCCGATTTCGGTTCTGCGGCCGCTTGTCTCTGTGCTGTTGGGTTCTCTTCCTCATCCTCGTTCTCCTCAACAACGGTTGAAACGACCGTCACACCGACCGACGGGGTGTGTCTGTGCATGCGCTTTGTAGTGTTTCCGGGTTGCGTTTCCTTTTCCGAAGCAGGCGGCTCTAGCTTCTCTTCGTCCACGACCCTGTTCTCATCGTCCCGCACGTATATTGACGCAACCGTGCTTGGCGCCGCCGTGGACGTCGACTCCACTCCTTCCGCGTCCGGCGGAATGGTAAAGTTATCCTCTGGAATCAAGCTGTAGACGTCGCAGACCGTCTTGAAGAAGATATAGAGGCCTGTCCGGCTCTCAACTTTCCAGAACACCTCTCGGTGCTGGAACCACGCGTGTGCAAAGATGCGGTAGACCCTTCTAAATATATTGGTAAGCTGTCGCACCTGCTGATGCGCCGTGCTAGCCTCAGTCCCAAGCGCCAACCGCGATGGGAAGTGTTTGGGCGATGTGAGCGTATTAGCGGCCCAGTCGAGTGTATGGCAGCAGTAGTCGATTGCGCAGCACGACTTGGGTGGGTCGTGAACCGCGCAGAGATATTGCCATTCCGAGGCGCGCATCTCGGGGCAGGTGTGGGAGGAGCAGGGCGGGCTGTCGGAGAAGAGGGCGATGATGATCGAGTTTGCTTTCTGCGTGAGGAAGCGGCAGAGTTCGTAGAGCCACAGCGACTTATCGACGCCCTCCGGGGGGTGGGCGAGCCGCGTAGCCATGGTCTTGTCGATGGGAATTGTAGTGTTTGTGCCTATCGGATGCGTGAGGACATTGTGGAGGGCTTTGAGGTGCTCGGTCAGCTGGAAGGCGGAGTCTATCTAGAAAATCGTATCAGCTTGGAGCTCCTTAATCTGCTATGATGTTGTGTTGCGGCGGTTCCTTCAGAGTTCAGCCTTCCCAGATCGCTAACGTACTTCTGTCAAGTCCACCAGAGGAGGGCCTTCAGTCATATCCTCCGCCTTTGTTCCCGGTCGTATCCTCCTAGACGCGCCATGGTCTACTATGCTGAACAGCTTGGCCTGTTGTTCGGCTTGGGCGCCTGTTGGTGACTTCGGTCCTATCTGGTCTTCTGCGATTGGGGGCGGGCTTGGTAGACGAGGCGAGCTCGAGGGAGACAATGCTGCCATCATTCTCGTACTCGTTACACGGTGTCGGCTTGGAGATAGGCTTGTGTTGTGAAGTTCACTACCGGTGTTGGTGTTTGAGGATGCCTAAAGCGCTAGGCTCAATTTGGGAAGACTCTTTCTTCACTCCGGCTTCACGTCACCTGGGCAAGCTTCTCTCTCATCAGCGTAATCTTCCAATTATTGGTTGTTGTGGGGGAAGCTACTCAGCTCTGAGGGTATGTATGTATGTCTTTTTAACATCAACACCGAGCTTTTGCGGTTTGGAGCAAATTCCGCAGTCTTGAAGCGGCGTTCTCGAAGCGTCTCCACAATTTTCGCGTTATTAGTATATATTCCTGTTTCTAGTCAAGATTCAGCTCTTGTCCATCATCATTTCACTCAAATGTCTCAACCGTTCATCTCCAATCAATTTCCTGAATTCCTCGCCACTCTTTATCAAATCTGTTAATAAATCTTCTCGGTTCTAACCGCTCCGCGAAGGTTTAAATATCGACATCCGTAACTACCATATCAGCATTTTGATACGTTGTACAGACAATAGTAAAGAGTTTACTATGAGCCTCGATCTGGACGAAGATGAGGCACCACCTCTCCTCGTAGCCTCGGGACAAGATGACACCGGCCTTGAGACTGAAGTCAACGAGGTATCAGTCACAAAAGTTCCCATCACAATAATCACAGGTATGAGCTCCTATGCGGTTTGCGGTTTCAGCAACTAAGGTTCTAGGCTATCTTGGCGCTGGGAAAACGACGCTTTTGAACTACATCCTTACGGAGCGCCACGGGAAGAAGATTGCAGTAATACTGAATGGTTCGTCCCATGCACATACTCTGGAGTGAAGGCCTCTAACCGTGGGATACAGAGTTTGGTGATTGTATGGCTTGTCTCTGAGCTCTCATAGAGTACCCTTCCTAATGCTATTTTCTCAACACAGCTATCGACATAGAAAAGTCCCTCACAGTATCAAAAGACGGTCAGCAAGCGGAAGAATGGCTAGACCTCGCTAACGGCTGTATATGCTGCTCTGTGAAGTATGTGTCACGACAATCAGCGCCGTTTCCCACCTCGAATATAATCTGAGCAATTCTCTAACAAATGCCTATAGAGACTCCGGCGTCGCAGCCATAGAATCGCTCATGGACCGTCGCGGCTTCTTCGACTACATCCTTCTCGAAACCACCGGCCTCGCCGACCCCGGCAACATAGCACCTCTCTTCTGGGTCGACGAAGGACTCGGGAGCACTATCTATCTTGATGGCATCGTTACACTAGTCGACGCCAAGAACATTCTCAAAAGCCTCGACGAAGCACCAGCTGAGACTGTAGTCCACGACACTACTGAAGATCACAAGCACGAAGGCGACGAGCTGACGACTGCGCATCTCCAGATATCCCATGCGGATGTCATAGTCATCAACAAGACTGATCTAGTTACCCCTTCCGAACTTGAGACCGTTCGTGCTCGTATCCAGTCTATCAACGGACTAGCGAAGATTCATGTTACGCAGCGAAGCCAGGTTCCTCAACTCGAAAGCGTGCTACTAGATCTACATGCTTACGACTCCATTGGGGCGGACGAACTGGAGTTTGCGGCCAAGGGACATAGTCACCTGGATCCGGTGAGATTCATTTTCTCAGCAATATATATACTAAACTGGAGACTTACTGAAGCCTCTAGACCATTTCCACAATATCACTCCCAGTACCGATACTTAGGCCTCAGAAACTAGATTTAGTCGACGCATGGCTCCGGTCAGCATTATGGGAATCGGTACTCCCGTTGCCGGATTCATCAAAGCAGTCGACTTTCGAAGTTCACAGGATCAAAGGCCGTATTGTTCTGACTAATGGAGTGGTGAAGCTGCTACAAGGAGTACGCGAAGTTTTCGAGTTTCTAGACGAGAGCAATAGCGCTCGGTCTGGAGAGCCCACGGTGGTCGACTCTCCATCTTCTGCTGTTGGGAAAATCGTGGTGATAGGGAGAGGCATAGACCAGGACGCTTTCAGGCTGAGCCTTGAGAAGGCACTCAAAGGCTAAAGGAAGACTGATGTTAAATCTAGGTCTACTCCGCATTTACCGGCTTCCACATTGGATGGGCCTTGCAGTTGTCTAACCTCCATTAGTACAGCAGAATGTCAAATCAATCCAATTACAGAACATATCCCACCACGTGCACCCTCACTGAAACCGTGGTATTCCCGCTTTGGAGTCCCTGACCCTCCAATCCGCTTCACTCTTATGAGTCTTATTCCGTCCGTGATAAACACATATACCCATCCCGCCACTCTGATGCTTCGGGCTTAGCGGACACAGCGGACTCCCTGGCAGATGATCCGGCACGATCCAGTCAAACTCCTCCCTAGTCACCTCCACCCCCATTTCTAGCCTCCCGGAGTTGCCCGTGTCGTTTTCTCCCTCATCTAATGCCTGGACCCTGAACCATTCCGCCGGCTGCGAGGCATTCAGTGGCGGCGTATTCGAGCTCTGAGGCGGCCCTTCATTTGGTGAGTCGCCCTCACTACCACTGGTATCAAAAATGCGAGCCTGGCTCATGAGCAGTGTGTCGGAGTCCCAGACCCCGCCTTGCTTGCTAATATCCTTCGGAGCCGCCCTGCGCTGGGTGTCGTAGAACAAGTCTCCCGTGTCAAACTTGACGGTGTCGAACGAGGGCGGCGGCGTTGGTATGCGGACGGCTTCTGGTGGACTGAACTTGAATGGATTGAACTCGCGATCTACTGAAACCGGCGTGGAGAGGGAAGGAGGGGTCTTCGGGCCCTGTGCTGAGCGATCTGAGCGCGAGAACAAGCGGCGAATAGTAACGGGGCTATGCTTATAGCCAGCGGCAACTGCGTTGCTGATGGAGGCACGTTTGATCGGTTTGGTCAGGTTCTCTGGTTTGGGCTGGTTGAGAGGCGAGCCAACCTTGCTGCCTGATACCAGAGACAGGGGAAACTTGAATACAGAACCTAGAGATGTCTTAGAGTCTTCTCTTTGCTTTGATTCCGCACCGGCCGCTTCGTCGAACCTGTCCGTCTCTGCGCCTCCAGTTTCAGGACCCTTCGCGCTTGGTGATTGGCCAAGCCACCCTCTTAACGGGTATTTCCTTGAGGGTTCGGGACTACCAACCGAGGGGTCGCTTGAGCGGTTACTTGCAGTTCGAAAATGCCCTGGCCGTCGGACGTTTCCTCTAGTTGAAGACGGAGAATCTGTAGGAGGCTTTTGATGATACATGTTTCTGACTATGTCTTCGTTGGGAGTGACAATTCGGACGCTCTCAGGGATCGATGTGATTCCAGGAGCCAGGTAATGGGATGGTTCAATATCCACGGGAAAAGGCGTTTTGGGACTTCGAGGACGACAGACTGCGCCAACGAAAGTCTGTGAGGATATTGGGCTTCGTGATCGAGGTGGGAGATCTGGCATTACTGATGGCATAGCCATTTTAAGAGCCTTGCCATGCTCGTCCAGGTTGCGGCGGTCTTTGACGCTGCCTTTGGAGGGCGGTTCAGCGTCATTTTTAACGTTCTTCAACTTGTCAGGAGTCTCTTTCTCCTTTCTCAATGTCATAGTGTCTGGTATTTCTTTCTTCGAAGAGAAAATGGAGAACGTCCTCTTCTTTTTCAGGGCTGGTTTGATCTCATCGCCTGTATCGGGAAACATGCGGAGATCAGGGATGCCTTTTACAATGCCCCGCGCCATAGTGCTAATCGAAGAGGCACTTGTACTTTGTCGCGAAAGGGTGAACCGAGACCCGCTCGTATCCCGTCGGGGAAATGGTTCTACGCTTGGCGTCTTGCGGATAGGAATATCAGTGGGACTGCTGGCTCTTGCGTTTCTTGATGTTTTGTCCGTTGCATCTCCCAAGGTGTAGCTCTCACGATGCACCTCTGTTCCTGGAATTTTTGCCGATGACCGTGTTTGGTAGATATGCTCATGGATTGTCGGCCATTGTTTGAAACGTGCTTCGGACGAACGCCGAATCTGCGGTGTTGTCTGTCCATCCCCATCAATGCCCGACGTGGAAGGGGATGTTGCGGCAAGGAAATAGTCTGTTGTTGGTGCGGCACTGATAGGCTCTCGAGATGCTGTTGTAAAGGGAGCTGGAGAGGATTCCAGAATTGGGCTGATTCCGAAGGCTGACATGCCCCCGTGACAGCTCAAAGTCGTAAAGTTCGATGCGCTTGAATAAGAATTTTAGGCAATGGAGGAGGCCAAGGGGAGATGGATATGGAGCGCGCGGGTACAGGTAAGGAGAGGATGTAGAAGTTCGAGGACGCGACGAGCAGTTAGTGAGAGAGGAAGTAAAGAAACAGCGAGGCTTTCTCCGACTAGAAGGAGCGACATCGGGAAGGAAGTCCTTGCCACCTGCTTAGGGTACTTCTTAAAGTGAAGACGAGACGGAACATCAAAGTAAGAGCTGGAAAAAATCCAAACACATAAAGTCTATACTTGAAGTTGTCGTCAATGTCATAATGACCCACAGCCACACTATTCACACATTAATACCAACACCAGACTGCCGCTGTCCTTATGCAATTAACCGACCCCCCATGACTCCAATTGCGGTAAGCCTACCCAACTGCATTCCAATATAACATATACTGAGAATAGAAAACGCAACACACTGTATCACCTTAAATCTGCAGGCGTCAGGGCTTGAACGATACTTGTGCCCTCGCTGAATCTGGTCCGAAATATCCGGTTGGCGTTTTGGAACATGCCGTCCTTCAGACTAACGACAATGAATTGAGAGCCCTTGAAACGTGTCTTGATAAGGCGTCCGATGTTTTGCGTGTGTGAAAGATCTAGTGCGGCGTCCACTTCGTCCAGAATATACATGGGTGCTGGCTTGAATTGGAGAAGCGCCATGATGAGAGAGAGCGCAATTAGGGACCTGCTTGAGTGTTAGATTTACCTCCAGGGTAGATCGTTACGGAGACTCACCTTTGACCTCCACTAAGTTCTGTCAAGCTCTGCTTCCATACTTTGCCAAGGGAGACCTTGACTTCCAGCCCATCTGAGATCGACTTGCCCTCTGGTGGATCGAGTTTCGCAAAACTACCAGGGAGTAGTTCGTTGAAGATATTGCCGAAATCGCCATTGACCTTTTCCCATGTTTTCTGCAAGGCCTCTTTCTTGTACTCGTCCAGGCTGACAATCGTCTCTTCGATTTTGCGCTTATCTTTGATGACAGTTCTCATCATGTTTTTGAGACTGACCTCCTTCTTTTCCACACTGTCTATCATGTTCATGACTTTCGGATTGATTTTGTTTTTCATCCCTTGGAAGCGTTCCTTAAGGTTCTTCAAAGTAGACTTGCATTCGCCCATGTTCTGGCCTTTGAAGTCGTAAGGCGAACCTGCTCGTCCAAAGTTGTCGCACTCGTCGGCAATCCAATCATGCTCCTTCTCGAGCGCCTTCAGTGTATGGGCAGCTGATTCTTGCTCTTTATGGAACTTCTCGATCTGATGGCCAAGCTTTTGTTGCTCAAGGCCCTCCTCGGTGATGAGCGCGGATTTGGATCGACTTGCCTCCTCTAAAGCTCGTAACTCATCATCAAATCCAGTTAGCTTAGCCTGTTCATCTGAAAGGTGAGCTTGGGCGAGATCGTGAGCATCCTAGTATGTTATTAGAACATATCTGAAAGAGGTAGACATAGATACTATACCTTCACGTGAGTTTGCTCGGCTACAAGAGCATCGATCTCTTCTTTTTGCGTCGCCAGAGTAGTCTGGGTGTCCTGCAGTTGCTCTTGCGCCGCAGCAAGATCGCCGGCGCATTGCTCAGACTCAACCATGGCTTCCCGCATTTCTGTCTGAAGCGGCTTGATTGACGCAGAATTCTTGCTCAATGTTTTCTTCAACTTGTCCAGCGTTGATTGCAGCTCAGCAAGCTTGCTGTCTTTATTGTTCGTAAACTCGCTCATGTCACGCTCGATCCGTTTGATCTCTTTCGAAGCCTCATCATGTCTTGCTTTGGCATCGGCGATGTCCTTCTTCAATTGGATTATGTTAGCTTTCATTTCTTCGACCGCTTGAATGATCTACGCTGTGTTAGTGGAATACTCCGCTTCAACGACTGAGGGACATACCGAAGAAGAAGAATTGCTACTGATTTGCTCCTCAGTCAGCTTAATCTCATGAGTCTTCAAGTCAAGTTCTTGCTTGGTTTTCCGAGCAGCATCCAACTTCTTCTTCTCTCGAGATATTGTTGTTTGCAGCGTAGTCAGACTCTTTTCTTGGGCAGTGAGGTCCTTTGTGAGGTCATTGAGCTTCTGTAGAGTAACAAGTACACCGCTTGACTGGGGCGCGCTGCCCCCAGAGAGTGTGCCGGACGGGTCGTACACATCCCCTTCAAGTGTTACGCTTTTCATCCGGACTGCGGGATCGAAGGTTACTCGCTTAGCAGTGTCGGCATCCTCGCAAATGAAGGTCGATCCGAAAACGAACTCCATACCAGCGGTGATTTCGTCGTCGTAACCTATCAGATCAAGCGCAAGGTCGACCTTTCCGGGTGCAATTTTCTGAGCGGCACCGAGTTTCTGTCACATTTGTTAATCGAGTCTAGAAGCACAGAGACCAAAGTTGACCAACCTCTGCAGATGCACGGAATGCCGATATCTTGTTCAACGGGATAATGGTAACCCGCTTCTTTAGTTTACCGTGATCGAGAAGTTCCTTGCCGGTCTCTGAAGTGTCTACGACTACGTTGTAGAGGCGACCACCTGCGCAGACCTCGAGCGCAGTTCCTGCTCGCGTGTGCTCCTTATTAAGAGTAAATAGCTGAGCTACCAAGCCCTTAACCTTCGAACGATCAAAGTTTGGTGAGGGGTCGCTGTAACTGAAGTCAATGTTGGCAACTTTTCGCTTCAAGCCATCAGCTTGTTGTCGAAGCTCCCGTATTCGAGTCTGAAGAGCCGTTTCCTGCTTGTACATGTCTTCTTCCATTCCAGGTTCGAATCCAAGTTTTCCGAGATCGGCCTCGAGCTTTTTGGCCTGTGCTCGGAGAGCCTCCAAATCCTTTAAAAGGCCCGAGTTCTGATCCTTGGCCTTCTTCGCTCGAGGCTCCTCCTCCTTGATGCGCTTCTCAAGATGAGTGATCTTCAACTTTGCTTGCTCCTGTTCTGTCGCCGCAGTGCTGACACGATTTCTTGCGTCTTGAAGTTGCCCTTGATAGCCGCTTTCTTGCCCTTCTTTAGACGCTACACCGGTCTGAAGGGTTTGAAGGAGCTCTTCCTTCTTCTCGACCTCCTCGGTTTGTTTGGTTAATTCGTCGTGTGCGGCCTTGTACTTTTCTTGGAGCTTCTCATACACTGCCGTTTTCTGCTTCAATTGAGTCTCTAGCTCTTTCACGCTCTTCTCAACCTTCTTCCTTCTATCTTCCTCTTCAGCCATGCTTGATTTTTTCAGGTCCAAGACAGTACTGAGGCGAACAATCTCGTGCGAATGAGTCTTCACTTCGTCTTCCAAAGCCTGGAACTTGCCACCCTTGCGCAGCTCCTTCTCTCTGGTGGCCTTGACCTTCTTGATGTCTTCCTGGAGGAACGAAATCTCGTTCTTGAGCCTCACAGCAGACCCCTCAAGATCCTTCGCCCTTTGTTTCTTCGCCTCTAGGTCATCTGCGGACTGTTGTAGTTTCCCTTTGTATCGGACGTAGTCGTGGGCCACCACCAATCTAGTGAGCCGCTCGAGGTCGCTCTGTGTCTGCTGGAAGTCTAGAAATGCCCGTTTCTCCTGACGAAGCTTGTCTAGCTTGGGGTCGATCTCGTCGCGCAGCAATTCGGCGATCTCTTGAACCTTCATTTCCTTCTTGGCCATCGTCTTGAACGCTTTATCTCGTCTGTCCTCAAACATTCGCGTTCCCGCAGCCTCCTCAATCATAGCAAGTATTTCCACGGGTTTCATGTTTAGCACCTTGGTGATGCGACCTTGCATGATGAGGAAGTTCGGATTGTTGATGTTGAGCTGGACAGATTGGAAGAGGTTCTGGACGGTTTGTTGCTGCGCGCGGTGCCCATTGATCAGGTATTTACTGGTACCCCCAAGCACGATCTGTCTCGTCACTGAGATTTGTGCGTATTCCTCGAAGCCAATGGGGCTCTTCTTCTTGTCACGGTTGTCGAAGACGATGGTAACACTGGCCTTGGTCACTCCGGCTTGACCACGCTTGTATATGAGGTCCTGCAAGTTGTCAGAGACTGTGCTCCGCCAGATTTGTAGCCTAAGAAGCCATACCTGCAAATTCTGAGCGCGAACAGTGCTCATGTTGGTGATACCGAGAACGAAGCATATCGAATCGAGAATGTTGGATTTACCGCTGCCGTTGAGGCCGGTGACTGCATTGAAGCTCTCGTCCCTTGGCGCTGTCAGAAGTGTGATTGTTGTGGGTTAGATTGGTACTCACCATCCTGAGATTACCGTGCGGACGGCGTACGATTTGAAACCCTGGAAACAGTTAGCAGCTGCTCTCCAGACTAATGAACCTCACTTACGTCTATGACTACTTCGACGACCCTCATGGCGGCGGTGTGGGCGGGCTGGAGTTGGTTGCTGGACGCGTCAAAACAATGCGGAGGGACAGGTCAACAACGCCGGCGTCCTCCGCACACGTGACTACACCGCACGTGACTTTCTGGCCTCCCTTCATCGCTCGTCGGTGTCAGCCTTCAGTCCATCTAGTAGCTTGCTCCAAGAGCCGCCTAAAGACTCTTTTGAGGCGATGCCTTTGGTTGATACGTGAGATCGCTGAATTTCTTCCTTTCGGAGTGTTTCTCTGGCCTCTTCCAATCCGCCGATATCGCGCACATTCTCGAAACCCAACGACTTGAGAGTCTCACGAGCGATTCCAGATCGACGGCCAGAGCGGCAATAAAGTGTTATCTCATCTGTCTTGCTGGCACGTTGAGCAAGCTGGCTGATGTCCTGATATTCGATGTTGATGGCCGAGCCTAGGAATCCAGTTACGTACTCTCCGGGCATACGAACGTCTACAAGCACAGTCCTCGCCATATTTTCTGCGTGTACGAATAGTGATATACGAAGGAGACGCCTGAGTGGAGTTCTTTCACGCGGCAATCATGTTAGGAACTTTGGTAGGGGATCAACTGGTATGAATCCCCACGAAAAGGTCCTAATCAATGCTGAAACTACTTATTCTACGGGACGCCAAAACACAATAGCTGGGAACCAAGCCTTTTCAGCCCTTCCATCTCAACCTTATCCAGAGTCCATTTCAATGCATGCACACCTTCTCAGATATAGGAACGGCGAGATCGCTTATCAATGTTTGAGTGACTTCGTGAGCTCTCTACCTACGTCTAAATCTGTCAAAATCTTGCCACCAGTACACTTCTCTCTTGCTCCGGGAGTGAATATCCACCACCTACCACAGTTACCACATGTCCGTCTCTAGGCGCCAAGAACCGTTAACGGGAGAAAAGCCTGAAGGCTAGAACTTTTGGACTCTAATCCCGATGCTTGTTGGGACACGGCGCATCGCATCCCCGGTTCCTATCCCTGCCTCATGGCAATGTTCCACGTACCGATCCGTCCGCGTGGGCTCATCCTGTCTCCTCATTGAGAACGGCTTCCGAGCCTAGTAAGGCGTATTTGCCGTGCAAATCGTCTCGCGAGCATAATGGAGTCACGCAGCGATGTAAATATTTCATTATGAGACTGCTGGCGCCAGCTAAAGTTTGAGAATCTATTCTCTGCTCGCGTCTCTGGAATGCGCCTTAGGGATGGCAGGTAAGAGGCTCAAATATTTCGTGGATATTATTGAGGCGAGTATCATACAATTAGCACCAGGCAAATGAGAAAATTCTGTTATTATGGGACTAGATTGCGAATAACGGTAGGTTAAGAGATGGAAGATCACTTGCTGAAACAGGCAGGTTACAGCACCCAAATTATCCCCAGTCCCGAGCTCCAGGCTTACCGACTGTAACAATGCTCACGTATTGATGCACGAAAGTCTTGCGCGATTGCAGGGCGATATGTCGTACAAAACAAAACATACGATGGGTTTTATGAAATGATAAAATGGATGAATGCCACGCGCGGGAAGGCGTGATTGGACCCTGTCTTCCTCAACATCACTTGCCTGCGCTGAGCGGTACAGCCTCTAAACCTACACCGAGTGTAGTTCCTGCAGTAATCTCTGCAGCGACTCGACATGGCGTCCCTCGTAAGGCGCTTCCAGAGGAAGCCGACGGCGAGCGACGATACGCCAGAAGACACCATTCAGCCCAGTCCGTCCAGCCCTTCCAGTACAAAGGCGCCCGTTGAGACTGGCAACGAGAAGCTTGACTCCGAGGTTGGCATTGATCGAAACGACCCCACTCACAAGGATGAAGCAGAGGAAGACCTCGAACCCGATGTCCGCGCGCTCCCACTACAAGTCCGCCGGATTGTAAGTCTGGAGGATGATCCAACCACGCCGACTATTACGTTCCGGTACTTCCTCCTTACAGTTCTTTTCATCTCTCCAGGAGCGGTGCTGTATCAGATGGGATATTATCGGACGACGGCATCTCCTTACAGCGTCCTTTTTGTGCAAGTGGGTACGTATTATGGAGTCTATGGGGTGGGCCAGCCGGATTGCTTACGATTTGTAGCCTGTCATTACGTTGGCCTGTGGCTTGCTCGTATACTGCCTGCGAAGACGATTCGAGTACCATTCACCAAATTCAGCTTCAGTCTCAATCCCGGCCCCTGGAATGCCAAAGGTATGGGCCTATCTCGCCTCCCGAATCCCTTCCTCTATTAACGTCCTTCTAGAACATGTTCTTGTCACTGTCACGGCAAGCTCAGGCGCTACTTCAAACGCTGCATGGACGGCCATCTCTCTGGCCGAGCTGTACTACGGTGACAAGATTCCTGCGGCTGCTTGTATATTCTTCATGTGGGCTATCGTCTATCTCGGATACGCAATGGCAGCCCTTGCTAGGCAATTCCTCATCTACGACCCTATCTACATCTGGCCACAATCGCTTATGCAGACCGCTCTGTTTGAGACACTCAAATCGTCAAACTCAAACTCCAGAATTGGCCGGAAGCAAAAACACGTCTTCTTTGCCGTCCTAGTAGGCGTAACACTCTGGCAATTTCTCCCTGAATACGTCTTCCCCTTCTTCAGCTCTTTGTCGTTCCTGTGTTGGGTTGCCCCGGAGAACGCCGTTGCCAATTTCATTGGTGCGGGAATTGGTGGCATGGGCCTTCTCAACTTGACTATGGACTGGTCTAACATATCAAATGCTTACGGAAATCCAATGGTCATGCCATACTGGACTAGCGTGGTTCTCTTCCTGGCTTTCGCATTCAACTGCTGGGTTCTTCTGCCCGCAGCAAAGTGGGGTAGCCTCGGAGGTTTCAAATATGGTGCGTTCTTCCTCGATGCCAGACCCAAGAGATTCGTTGTTGAGAGTTTTAATATTAACATTACGGAGGTTTGATGTCCAACCGTCTCTTCCTAGCAAATGGCACCAGATATCCAGTCGCAGCCTTATTAGGGCCAGACAACACCATGAACGAGACGGCTTATGCATTCTATGGACCCGCCTATATGGGTATGTCCTCTTCTTATTAGCTCTACCATGTGTACTAAGTGAAAAAAAGGCACCCAGCAAATTTGGGCTCTCTTCTTCGATTACTCTTCTTATATCTCTGCCTTGACCTGGATGCTTCTATTCGGATGGCCTAAAATTAGTGAAACGATCCAGAAGCTAAGGGCCCGGGCAGCGACTAAGGGACAAAGTCCGGAGTCCGTTAACCATCTCTACCCAGATAGACTCAATGTTCTTCAACGAGCGTATAAGGAGGTCCCGTTATGGTGGTACACAATCTTGTTTCTCGGGTCTTTTATCACTATAATTGTGATTCTTGCTAAAGGGATTTTCTTCATCCCGATATGGACATTTATTGTGGCACTAGCCACTTCCGGATTTATGATCCTCCCGTTCGCATGGCTGTACTCCCTCTCAAACTACCAAGTCCCAATTGGCTCATTCAACGAGCTGATATATGGCTACATGATCAATTCCAAGGCTGGGGCGAGCCATAGGCATCCTGCGGGTGCTTCAACGTATGGAGCGATAGCAGGCGACATCTGGTGAGTTTCACGCGATATCCTTTTTTGAGTCAACTAACCACGATTTCGTAGGTACCGCGCACAATACATGCTACAGGACCAAAAGATCGGGCACTACATGCATGTTCCCCCGCGAGATCTCTTTTTCAGTCAGATATTTGGCGAGTTGATCGGTGTACCAATCAACTATGGTATCATTAGATGGGTCTTGTCAACTAAGGGCGAATATCTTCTCGGCAACAAGAAAGAGTAAATAAAATCCATATTCTACCTCTGCTAGCTCACTACTTACTCCGCCAAGCCCTCTCAATCAATGGACTGGTCAATCCCTGTCTTCTTACAACACCCTCGCCGTCCAATACGTTCTCGTCGGCCCCAAACGCCTTTTCGCTCAGCACATATACAAGCCTCTCCCTTGGGCGTTCCTCTTTGGAGCCGGCGCTCCCCTCGTCATCTACATCGCACATCGCCTCTTCCCGCGCGCGAAATTCCACCTCTGGAACATCACCATTTTCGCGTCAGGTATGTCCGTATTTTACGGCAATCTCAGTACGGGGTACACGAGCCGCCTCATCGTCGCATACATCAGCATGCGGTACTTCTACCGCAAGAGGTTTGAGACATGGCGACGGTACAACTTCCAGATTGCGGCGGCCTGCGATGCGGCGTTCAACATAGCCATGTTGTTGATATTTATATTCTTCAGCTCAGGAAAAGGGGTCCTGATGCCGAATTGGTGGGGGAATAATGGGGAGAGTGTTGAGCGTTGCTTTGCGCTCGACTCGTAGATGGATTGATGGAAGACGGATCGAGATGGCGTGGGATTGATGTAGCACATGTCTTGTCTCGGCCCAGAAAGCTCGCCAATGGACTAAACTATCCAAGTTTGCTAACCATCAGCTTCATGCATATGATCTCATGCACCGGGCACCTCTACCTATAGATAGCGAATTGCGGTTCTTAGCTAAATAAATACTCGTCACTAGTAATCACAACTCTGAAGAATAGTCAAACGGATGGCTTGGAAGATGAAGTCAAGACGCTATGGTATATCTGCACTGGAGGACTAATTGCACATTGTACCTGGCGATTCACGAAGCTAACAGCAGCTTGGCTAATAATAAGTTTACATTGGCGGTACTGGACGGCTCCTGTGAGGGAAGTGCATCCATGAAGCGTTTGTAGGACCTCGTTTCGACTGTTCTAGCATCACCCTTGTTTCTTTTGTACTTCGCTTTGGGGCCGAGTGAATACATGAACCACCCCGGCTAAGTCAGCGTGACAGTGAGCACACTCTCCAGAACAGGCTGGACGTCAGTCGTCAGATTCATCAAAGGGCTATGGAGGTGTACGACTGCACGGATCTTGTTTCGTGAAATTGAGGGTCGTGAGTCGCTGGCTCGGGAAGATTTGTTTGTGCTGCATCACTTGGCCGTGGTGGCGTCCGGGGCGCGTTTCGGTGCGACTCCGCCCGCTTGCGAAAACGGTGGGGCAGCGCTCATCCTTCACTCCTTTCATTCCCCTCGCTCCATCCAAGCCCAGCATCCGACCGCCGCCTTTGATTGAAGCGAAAAAGGCTTGAGCTAACGCCGTTGAACAGCCTTGTCTCTGCTGCTGCTGACGGCTGTTATGATGAGTTTCAAGTCTTCTGTCACGTTCGAGCCCAACCTGCGAGACACTCTCAGATGTCGTTGCCCACAGCATCAGGTCCAGGATGGACATTGACGACGCTGCAGTCGGCTTTCTTCCACCGTTTGATTCAAGCCTGGACTCGTCCACGGACTGGGTCTGCGTCGGCACATCCTTGTGCTCATCTTGAGCCCACCCGGGATCTCGCTGCTTGGACCGACGCCCAGAGTTTCAGTTCTCTGTTGTCTGCGCGGAGTAGGCCTTGAAGGCGCAGCCCCCGAGAAACAAATTATCCTTGACCAATTTCGTGTTTGGGGCATCGATCATGCCTGGATATAGAATTAGAGGAGCCCATGGGGCCAAATCCGGAGTCAATCCCTTCTATATCTACCCTAGACCGGCCTCCCGGTTTCTCTCTCATTCTCGACCTCTCTTTGTTGGATTCACCGAGCATTTTTTTCAGGCTCGACATTCTTTTCTGTGCGTCTATTACATTCGTTTACCAGGCAGTGCCGCTCTTTTTCACCACCTTTGTACCATCTTCAGTCAGAAAAAGTTTCCATTCGTTTTCGTCAAAATGAAGTTTTCAGACAACTTCTCGATACTCGTGGCCGCGAGCCAGATTGGTGCCGCTGTTGCTGGCCCTTTACCACAAGGCTATGGTCAGCCTTCCCAGTCGAGCAGTGCGGCCATCTCAGCACCAACCGCCTCAGAATCGACCGCCTTTACTTCCACCGACCTGTCACCTACTGAGATCACTGGTGCTTCAAGTCCCACTAGCTCCAGCTTCAGCTTTACCTTCTTTGTAACCACGGTCACTCCACCAGTTGAATCTAGCACTGTGATCAGTGTAGCTTCCAGCAGCTCTACAGTCCCGACCTCGCTGCCGTCGCCTTCCTCATCCTCTTCGACCGTCTTGGTGCCGTCTGGCACCGGACCAGGTGTGAACTTTACAGTCCCATTCACTCCTCTGCCATCGACGGGTACTGCGGTTTATCCTTCATCATCAACTGGGGCCACCGCAGTGTCTTCCTCCAGCGCATCTTCGAACTACACAATCTCGTTCACACTTCCTCCACAATCGACAACCGAGCTTTCGCCTACAAGCTCCGCGACCACCATGCTAGCATTCCCATCAAGCTCATTGATCACACCGTCTCTAGGAACTGCGCCTATGTCCCCTCCTCCTTTCCCGTTCCCTTCGTATGTACCCACCGGGTCCGGAGGAGCTTCCTTCCCAGTACCAACCGCCGGCTCAAACTTGACGATCAGCTACTCTCTGGCGCCGTCCTCGGTTTCAACTCAACAGATACCGACGTTCTTAACGGGTATTACTCCTACCGTTGTGCCATCGTCGTCGCTTGCGGCCACTGAATTGTCGTCTACTGTGGCCATTCCGTCCTCAACCGAGATTGCCGTTACAGGACTTCCCATACCTTCTACCACCGAGATTTCCCCTCTCAGCAGCGGTTCACTCGCGATTACACCGATTGGCACACCATCAAGCTCGGCCGGAAGCCCCGACACGACTGTCTGGACAACGTCTGTAGTCTACACTACGACGGTGATTACTAAGACTACAGCTCAGTCGACTCACGTGATTACCTCTGTAATCCCGATTTACACGACGGTCTGCCCGCTAGCTTCCCTCACTACTGACACTACCGACTTGTTCCCAACCTTTGTTCCCTCTGCCTTCTCTTATTTCACGGGGCCCGGCGCGACTGGACCCATTGGAACTGGATCTCCCACCACTGACACCACCGACTTGTTCCCGACTTTTGTTTCCTCTTCCTTTGCTTATTTCACGGGTCCTGACGCTACCGGGCCCATTGGAACTGGATTTCCCACCATTACCGCAAGCTCTGGATTCCCCCTTGCACCGCCAGCTCCCACGAGCTCCATCAGTCTGAGCGTTAGCTATTCCCTTGCTCCAACGGTGCCTAGCACGTCCCTGGACACTGTCTCAGCTGTCGTCAGTGTCTCGTCCACCGTTCTTTTTCCAATCGGTACTGGCGTCTCGAGCGTAGTCGCTCCCATTTCTAGCACCGTCTCGTCTTCAGGGGCTTACGCCACCACGAAGCTTTCGCCCACTGCAGTCAGCTCTAGCGTTTCTGGATTCTCGAGCCCCACAATCAGCATCCCACACTTTACTCTCCCGTCCTCGCTAGTACCACACTCAACCCTCGTGACATTTTCGCGCACAATCGGCGGCTACGGCGGCAACGGCGCCGTCCCGACGTCTACACCGACGTCCGCACCTCCCGTTGCCCCGCCGACGAATAGCAAGAACTGGTGGGCGGAGTTCCAGAAGTGGCTGCAGGAGCTAGCGAAATGGTTCAAGAGTGAGGAGAAGAAGGCGAAGGGGCCGAAGAACTAGAGAAATTCTACAGAGCATGGTTCTCGAGTGACCATGGCAGGTCCATGATTTCGGATTCATATATCTTCAAGCGCGGATTTGCATAGGTTCGGCGCATCTCTTTTGTCTTTTTACGGCTGGCCTGGATTGGTCTGATGCATCATGGCATTCACAAAGTTTGAATATCTATTTTCACGTATATACTTTTTCTCCAGAACTCTTCAATTAGAGCCCATTTTGATACCAATCAAAGCTACTTGATTTAACATCGCAAGATCGCTAATCGAATGAAGATGTACTTCCCGGTATCGAGCCATTGTATCTTTGGGAGTATTTTAGAAACCATCTAAACAGCCACAGCTTGCCTCGAATTTTCATCTCTCACCTCCAACAACTCAATCTTCTCAACCTTCTCCTGAACCTCCTCAAGCACCTCAACCTTCACCTCCTCATCCGCCAACCCCATATACTTCAAGCAATCTGTCACACAATCAGCTCGAGTTCACGCCTTTGCAATTAAATAAATAAAACTCACAATTCCACCCCAAATCCTCCCCAAACATCACCTCCATCGTCTTCTTTCCATATTCCACCCCCGTCCCCGCCGAGTAGACAATCGCCTGATCGCCCACCGCCAAGCCCATCACAGCGGGGAACTCGGGCAGCTCGGCGTGTTCTGGAGCGAAATCCGGGTCTTCGGAAGTCAAAATGGAGGCGAAGAGATTGGTTGCGGCGAGTTGGCCCATTACCATGGCACCGCCGGCTCGTCGAATCCCGCTCCAGGCGCAGACGTCGCCGATGGCGTAGTGGGCTGTGGAGTTGGGGACAGAAGTGGGGAAGGTGAGGCTATCGTTGTTATTAGCGGAAAGCTCAGATGTCAAAAAGGGGGGGTAAGCTCACGTAGGCGTCACCTTAACAAATCCCTCCTCATCAACCGCCTCCCGGGGTAGACAGTCTGTCGTCGGGAGATGTTTAGCCGTCGCATTAATCACAGCACCCGCCGTTATAGTCGTCCCGTTGGTGAGAGTAATGAGGTAGTGCCCCTCTGACTGCTCTTCCACGGTGGCCCGGTTCCCCGTGATGACCTCGACGCCCAGCTCTTTAAGCAGCATCTTAGCGCGGTCTTTGAACTCAGCTGGGAGCGGCTCAGCGGATAAAAGCTCAGCGCGGGAGTGGATGAGCGTGACGTGGAGCGCGGGGTGGTTGTGTTTGATTTCGCCAGCGAACTCAATCCCCACGGCGCCGCCGCCTACAACAGCAACACGCTTGTGTCTAGCGTTCTTGATCTGGTTGATGAGGGTGCTGGCGTCTTTGTTGTAATCGCTACAGGATTGGGCGCGAGGGACGATCGGCCAATTCCGCTTCAGGCCTGTTGCTTGGATGAGGTAGTGGTATGGCTCTGTCTGGACCACGCCGTGGATGTCGGTGTACCAGGCTGTGCGGGACTTGCAGTCGATCTTTGTGACGGAGCCTTGCTTGAAGGTGAGGTTGAGGTGTTGGAGCTCGTGGAAGGATTTGAAGGGCTTCCACATGACTGGCGAGGCTTTCTCGGACACGTGGGCGAGAGGGGCGCCGACGGAATGGACTGTGGAAAGTAAGTCCATGTATTGTTACTAGACTAAATGAAAGAAAGTCAATCATACAAATGCCATCCCGTTGGTCCAACACGGTGATATGCACTCCCCTCCTCGACAACTTCTTCTGCAGATCAGGCAATGGATATGCACTCGGCCGATTCGCATTGCCCTTCGCCAAACTCAGCAAGTTCAGCGCGGCCATGAGCCCGCCATAAGCACCGCCGATGATTAGGATCCGATGCGGGAGTCGGGTGGTAGCATGGCCAAGACCAGGCACGGAGTCACGTGACACTTCTGGGAGATGCATTTCGGGGATATAGAAAGATCTGATAAAGAGAAAGGGGGAAGGAGGACAACAGGCTCGAAAGGCGGGGAGAGGTTATCTGATCTTAAGCAGAACCAGTCATGCGGACCGATGTCGGATCAACGCCATTGGAATTGCGAATGCGAGGTGGGGCTGTTGGGCCGGCAAATGCGAGCCCGAGGATGGGCATTTACGGATGGTGTTCATCGTCCTGGGTATGTGTATAAGAAATTCATCGGGCCTTCACGTGCTATCCGAAGACATTCCGATGAAGTTTGTTATATCACTAACAAACAGACATTAGGACACGCACAGAGATAGCTAGTTTTGGAGAATGGGGGACGCTGGAGCATGTAGTGCCAAGGGCTTCCTCAATTTCGCGTCAGGAGGACCAAGATTCGTGATTGTGATACATCCATTCACCGTTAGGCCCCACATCGCTACGACAAATAAAGTTATCTGATCCGTCGTTAGCGCTGCGTGAATATTTCGTATCTGATCCGAGGCGGCTGCGTCATGTGGTTCCGGTTGGCCCGGCCGGCACATGCAACTTTTCCACCAGCCTTTGCATGCCCTCAACTTCAACTTCGGCGCACACGCTGCGTCTTGGAGCTGAAAGACCACCCTAGAGCATAGAATCGATCGTTCAGTTCCCATTTTGCATCTAAGTCAATGATAGACAGGCGTGTACGCACACGAGGGAATTTAGCACGTGATCAAAGATAATCTCCTGGACGGGCAGGTCTTGGCATTTGAAAGGTGTCGAGGACGGAGAAGAGAGCCAACCCCGGACGTCCCAAGGTTGAGCTTCACCCGGACTGCTTTTTCCCTTAAGACTCGGCTTCTAATTGGACGAGCTGCTCCGCCAGACGAACTAGCAGGGAAATGATGCTACGAGCTAGCAGGGCAGGGTATATTTCCGTGGCACGGAACACCAAGCTCACCTCAACGTTGACATCTTCAGCTGCTCTTCACCCATGTATTGAACTTTTTTGCTGACCTCGAGTCATATAATTCTCACAGTCCATCCGTGGAGAAAAATGAAGCGTCACGCCCAGCATCGAATACCAGCAGACCCCAAAGTCTAATGACCAGAGCACTTTTCCTGTCTACCAGAAAACCACGTTTCAAGAGAGCATTCATCTGTGATTAAGATTTCGTTTCGTCATCTTATCCTCAAACCTTTCCAGGTTTCGGACATATCAAAAAATATCCTTCTTGATGAGGGCTCCAGTCTTGCGATAGACCACCCATATCGATATCTGCACGCTTTCGCGACGGCAAAAGGTCAACGAGTTTCTTCTGGTGATTCCTTCCTACATTGAGATACTCGATTTGTAACTTCGTCAGATTCATATGACTTCTTCTACTCTCCCAACGATCATTCATGATGTTCGTGCCCGATTGAGGCCTCCGCCTGTCACGACAATTTCCTCAATGGGTCTAGGCTCGCGTACCCGGTTGGAGTCAGTTGAACGAAGTTTGGCCTTTGTAGAATTCGCACGACTCCAATTGGTCGCCAGTAGTAGTCCAAAGGAGAAGTGACAATGCGAAGCAACGCGGGCTCAACGTGCGTGTTTTCAGAAAAAGATGGCGCTGGACCCCATGGGCCTCTATCAAAAGCACGTGTCCCCCACGTGTCGCCTCCCAAGGCCCAGCCTCCCACTAACTATAAAAGCTCCTCCTCGCCCCCGGGAGCCAACCCAGACAAAGACAGAGCTCGAACTTGCAGTTTTGATAGACTCTCGCGAAACCTTCCCACCCTCTCAGGGGATCTACCGGCTGGTGGGAAGAGTTTCGTAGGAGTCTGTTGGATTATGGCAATCACCAACAGCAATCACTGCCGGTAGCAAACAGGGCGCTTTCATGTACATAATGTCGCGTTCTGTCAATGTTCAGATGCTACGGCCTGCAAGCTAACAGAGTCTGTAAATTCCACAATGCGAACAAGAAATGGTCTGGTGGAGGAACGTTAACAGCTTTCGAGGAGAGCTTTGATGGGAAGGAGTAAAAGCGCAGAGGGAGGAACAGAGTGGTGGAGTCGAAGTTGGGTGGAAGACGGATGATGGTGGTTCAACATTCGAGTGAAGGGCGTTTTGAGAAGGCTTGATTATGAGCAGTGAGAACGAGCGCAGGTGGTGGATATGGAGGAAAGGAATTTCTAGTGAATGATGCGAATCACTAAAAGTTTGAAGACGTGAGGCTCAATTAGGTCTGTCGCAAATGCTTTTCATCTGTATCACAAACAACGGGCATGTTGTCCGAACGTTCGATCAACACGGGTAGAGTGTTGGCCGAATCAGTTGATGCTCTATAGAACATATTCTCGCCGCCATTGTTGGTTTGCAGGCCGTAGCATCTGAACATTGGTGGAACGCAAATATTATGTACATGAAAGCCCTGTTTGCTACCGATAGTGATTACTGTAGGTGATTGTCATAATCCAACAGTATCATCAATAGCTGCGGTATTTCCAACGGCGACAAGGTCGAACTTCACTGGCATTTTGAGGAAACGGCTTATCGCTTTGCTCTACGTGCTATTGAGTTCGATGGTGAGGATGGAGGTGAAACAATGCATTGAACGAGGTAAGTGATGTATTGGATGGTCCTCTATCTAGGCTACGTACGCCGTATATATACTCTGTGTGTGTGGAGGCTTACGTAGCCGTACCGTAGAACTGTGTGGGCTAAGTATAGGAACCGTGTTCTATATCAAGGTAGCCGAGCTAACCGTACCATACTCCGTAGGCTAGCTGGCTAAGAATACGTACTCCGTCAGATGGTGCGGCATACACGACCGGCATTGAGCTCACGACGGAGAAGGCACGAGCATGGTTGTGTACACAAACCAAAGACATTGACCGTATCAATAGGGGTATTGAATTACTGAAGTCGGAACTAAATGCATGGTTATGCAGCTCATATCTGCGGTAACTACTTATGCTAGGAAGTTATCGTAGTTACTACAGTACATACAATTAGATAGTAACATAGTTCTATTTGCAATATGTTTGCAATTGCACTCCATGCGATGTGAATAGATTAGTTGTGTTCGGCATAGTGGATATATTGCGGGCAGCACGTGAATATCGCGGGAAGCACGTGAATATCGCGGGCAGCACGTGAATATCGCGGGCAGCACGTGAGTATCGCGGGCAGCACGTGAGCAGCGAGTTCACAAGGACGAACAGAGGAAATCGGACAGGATATAACGCGGGCATCGCGTGAGCCACGAGATCAACAGGCTCACAGGTGAGAGAGGCCGAGGAATCGGAGAGAATCAAGAACATGCTTCGAGGTCCACCCGAACTCGCTGCGCTAAACTACAAGAGGAATCCACGCTAAGACTCTTCGAGTAAGTTCAACATCATTTCTCGCACTTTTCTTACGTGATACATAGCGAAGCCTCATTCGTATGAAGAGATTATTAGCAGATGACTTCAGATTCTTCCTAGTCTCTGACAGGCATACACGTTCAGCCTCAGCAAAATTCGAACTTGTTCTTCAGAGATTGCGAATACTAAACCCTTTAGAGAAGTCAGCGTTCGACTGCGTCTCCCTTTTGCCTAGATGATGACGTCCAGTTATCGCTTAGGGATAGATATGGGGCTTGTATGTGGTATCTATCATTGGTAGCAGTTCGCATTTTCTCGCAGCATGGTAAGGCCAACGAGTTCACTCAATGATCGTCAGGAACGAATCAATTTCAAGTTGGTTGATTGAGGCTGAGAGATTTGACCATGACAAAGTCGCCGAGTGGTAATTATGAAGTTGAAATATAAAGGGACGGCAAAGAAACATATACTCCCCATCTTCATCAAGCCTTCATCCACTTCGAGCTCCTCAATCAGTATAGTCCTTAGTTTTCATTCACACTTGCCCTCTCGATCGTCATGAGATCCAGTTTCTTACTACTCTACATGGCAATGAGCTTACTGCCATGGGCAGAGGCTCACATCTCCCTTCCTCTGACCAAGCTCTTAAATTATGGGAAGAGCGGATACACCGTCAACCTCACCATCGGAACGCCTCCTCAAACTGTCATGGCTACTATGGACACCGGAAGCAGCGACACCTTCCTATCCAACTATGAGAGTCCCTGGGGCTTCTGTAAGCCTTCCTATCTCCCCAACTCCTTAAACTAAGTGGTTCTAACCCTCTACCCAGTCAACCCAAACCTCTCCACCACCTACAAACCCCTCACCTCCCTAGACCCCTACGTCTCCCGCTACCGCCAAGGCGCCCAAAACGGCACCTACTTCGCCGACACTATCTCTCTCGGCGCCACCACTGAAGCCAACCTCACCATGGCTCTCATCCCGCCGCCCGGGATGGGCGGCCCGCCTTACAACCTCCTCGGTCTGGACTTCGATGAAGGCGAGATGAAGGCCCAGCTCGCGGAAATAGCAGCAAACTACACCATCCCCGACTCCGATCTCCCCATTTACCCTAACTTCGTCACCACGCTCAAGAACCAGGGCAGCATTCGCAAGTGCGCATACAGCATCTATCTGAACATGCTGAACGCGGGATTCGGGGAACTCCTCTTCGGCGCGATCGATACCGCAAGGTTCGTCGATCCGCTGAAGTACGTAAATCTGGCGCGTAGTCCCGTCACAGGCCTGAACGACGTGATGATGGTGCCGTGGGCGGGGCTGGCAATGCGGACAGAGAAGGGCACCGTACAGCTGCCGCTCCCGCCAAAGTCAAACGCGACGTTCGATTCCGGGACAACGATCTCATACCTCCCGCTCGCAGCCGCGCGCCAGATCGCGGTGGAAGCAGGGGCGGTGGAGCGGAATTTGAGCGGTGCGATTCATTACTATCTCCCGTGCGACGCGGCGACGAACTTCTCGCTGAGCTATACCTTCGGCGATGAGAAGACGACTTGCGCGTCTGGTGGGCCGCGGATTGAGGTGCCGGCGAGTGAGCTCGTGTTGCCTGTATCTGCGAACTCTGGCACGGATGTTCCGGATCTGCCGAAGTTCGGGGGATTCGAGACGTGCGAGCTGGGGATTATGGGTGAGGAGACGTACACGCCTAATTTTGGGTATTTGCTGGGTGACACGTTTATGCGGAGCGCGTATCTGGTGTATGACCTTGAGGAGAAGAAGATTGGGATTGCGCAGGCGAAGCTGAATGTGACGGAGACGGAGATTGTGGAGTTGTGTTGATTTAGTTGTGTTGATTTTTGGGTGTACATTGAGTTGACGAGAGCATAAAGAGGGAGAGAAGGATTGGACTTAATACATTACGATTTTGCTATGTGCAACGAGCGGATGCGACCAAAATAGTGCAAGTACTGGTCGACGAGGCTCTAGGAAAAGAGAAACGAGAGACTTGAGGTTGTCGCGATGTTGGAATGTGGAACATGTGAGGATATCTGTAAGCATGGAAAGGCAGGACGAGACGAGAGAACCGTCTCAGTTTTAAAATCAATGCGTTCCGCTAAAGAATTAGCTGAGGGAGTGGCTGGCGGAAGAAAAATGCCCTGTGGAGCTTGTACCGTAAGGTATGTACAAGCTGTTCAGCAGGAGAAGCCACGTGAATGTATGGCAACTTAGGATGACACAAAGGCTTGTGGCATTTCCTACTACTTGTGTCACGTGGGTGCTATAGGACATCGTAGTAGGTGAAGTGACAGGGTTATTGAAGGACTATTTATGGCTAGTGTAAAGGCTCGACCGCTGACTAGAGACTTGGCCTCCTTGGAAGTTCGGCGAGGCCGTCAGGAGTCAAAAAATGGCAAAGTGAATCACCTGGACGTACAAAGTGGAAGAAGCAGAAAGTTGAAGAAATGGAAGGTGAATCGTTTTGGTTGTGTGGGATGAGAGTGGGAGGAAGATGAAAGGTGGGGAGTTGAGATTTCTGCCAAGACCGAGCATTCTCTTGACGCGTTGACGCGCGCCTGCCCAGAATTTTTCCCCAAACTATTCATCAACCACCAACTCGCACATAAACTCCACGCTGCAGGCAGCGCATAGCTTTGGCATGTTTTTGAGTTATACACCACTCCTGAGCTCGTAGAAATGGACGACTCTCCGCGACAGTTGAAAAGGAGGAAGCTCGACGCCCCGTCGCGCAATGTCTCGAGTCCGCTCCCGTCCAAACCGCATACACCCGGCACCCTCAGACGATCTACCCGCCGGATTACTTCACTTCACAATGCCGAAAACCATGCCTCTGCGCCTGCCAATGGCTCTCCACGAGCACGGCGGAGCTTGACTGAGGAAAAAGACGTATACGACAACGTTGATGGCGCCCTCGACACACCTGCGAAGCGCCTACGGGAACGCCTGCGGACACAATTTCACGAAAGTGATCCATCGCCAAAGAAGACGGGCTCAGCGCCGAAAGAGCCAGTTAGCAGGACGCGTGGCGGTAAAGAATTTGGGAACGGGACTACAAATGGCACGTCAAAGAGGAAATGGACATCTCGAACTGCAGGGTCGGAGACGAAAAGCGGTGCTTCGAAAGAAGTAGAGGAAGCAGTAGAGACGGATGGCGAAGACGAGCTGGCCGCTGGCTTGACTACGCCTTCCAGTCGCAAAATTCGCAAGGAGGCCGTCAATGGTACCAATGGTAGATCTACGCCCTTCAATCCACGCACTCGCACTTCGACTAGGATAGCTGCGCATAGCAACCCGAATCGCGCGAAAGGACATGTGTCGCCTTCCCCTTCCGGAGCGATGAGACGACGGCAGCCCCAGGCGGCTTTGTTTACACACGAAGGCTCTGAAGATCAGGAGGAAATGGACCTGGTTGATGCTGACGCGGATTCACACCAGGGCGTGCCAGATCAACGCTCCGAATGGCCGAACGTGAAAGCCGTAAGCAAAGCCCGAGCGACTGGGCGAAGGACGCGAAACCGGGCAGACCATGATGAAAACGCCATTGGCTCACCTCTTTTGGGGCAAAACAACCCTACAACCGGGCGAAGGAAGCGAAATAACGCTGACCATGATGGAATTGACACCGATCTGCCTCATTCAGAGGAATCTGGATTGGAGAGTGAAGTAGATGGGATCGTGGGGATGGAAAAAGACGATGTGGTGCCTGGCCAGATCAATGGAAACATCCAAGATGATCAAGAGCAGTCTGATGGAGAAATTGAAACAGCAGAAGTGTTGGAGGAAACTAGCCCTTTTCTATCCAATCGGAATCAGGGACGGTCGATTTTATCGCCCCGAAAAAAGGTGCAGGCCGACTCCAACGGCGGACTCACCCTACTAAAGAGTATAGTGGTGGAGAGGCTCACTGCGAAACGACCTACCCCTCTAGTTGGTTTAGATGATGAGTACAGGAATGTCTATCAACTGGTCGAGAACACCGTCGTAGCTGGAGAAGGAAACTCAATGCTTGTGATTGGCGCCCGAGGGAGCGGGAAGACAGCACTCGTTTCTAAGGTTCTTTCTGGAATATCCAAAGAGCATCGCGAGGAATTCCACACTGTTAGGCTGAATGGATTCATTCACACTGATGATAAGTTGGCTCTCCGTGAGATCTGGAGGCAATTGGGGAAAGAGATGGAACTTGAAGAGGACAGCTTAGGGAAGAATTACGCCGACACCCTTTCAAAACTCTTGGCTCTGCTTTCGCATCCTTCTGAGCAGACCGGAGAGGAGACGGAACAAGTGGCAAAAGCTGTTGTCTTTGTCATGGATGAGTTCGATCTTTTCGCGTTGCATCCGCGGCAAACATTGCTATACAACCTATTCGACATTGCTCAATCTCGCAAAGCTCCAATCGCGGTACTAGGTCTCACTACCAGGATTGACGTCTCAGAAAGCCTTGAGAAGCGTGTAAAGAGTAGATTCAGTCACCGCTATGTGCATTTGTCGCTCCCGAAAACGTTCACTGCATTCCAAGAAACCTGCAAAGCGGCACTATCACTCCAACTCGAAGACCTCAACATCGAAGAGCGCGCAATTCTCTCGAAATCCACCGCCGTGACACCGAAGACAGCCAAGAATTCCAAACCCGCCAATATTTTGGCGGCATGGAACTCTAGCATTTCGGTATATTTGTCCCTCCCTAACCCTCTCCTTTCAAATGACGCTAACACCTACAGACTCTCTTTGCCACGAAAGCATTCATAACCTCCCACCTCGGCCCAATCTACTACCGCAGTAAATCCATCAAAGAAGTCCTTACTTCCCTCCTCACTCCCACGGCCCTGCTCGCCCCATCCACCTTCCCGCCTTCTCCTTCCGCCTTCTTCACCCCTAACCCCTCTATTGCCTCTCCAACAAATGCCCTCGCACCCCCGGATTCCAAACTCGCGCTCCTCCCCAACCTTTCTCACGTCCAACTCGCTCTCCTCATCGCCGCCGCCCGCCTCGACGTCGTTCTCGACACCGACACGTGCAATTTCAACATGGCGTACGCCGAGTACGTGTCTCTAGCCGCTAAAGTGCGCATGCAGAGTGCAGCGGGCGGTGCGGTCGCGAGTGGTGGTGCGACAAGGGTGTGGGGAAAGGAGGTTGCGATGCGGGAATGGGAGAGGCTGGTAAGGTGGGAGCTTGTGGTGCCAGTTGTGGGACTGGGTGCCGGGGCTGGGGGGGCGGGTGCGATGGTCAGGGTGGACATGGCGCTAGAGGAGATTATACCGAGCGTTCAGGCTGCAGGTGGGCAGATGGATCGGGTGTTGGAGAAGTGGTGTCGGCAGATTTGAGCAGGAGTAGAGATGATGATGGGTGTTGAGTGGAAGTGTGTGTGTCTATTCATAGGAGCAGCTACGTGGGTGGAATGAGTAGGGTATCAGTGCATATAGGAGCGAAATACCATACTTCAGCCCTTACCCTAGCCCCTCTTATTCTTGGGTGGAACCTCACGTGCATTTCCTTTCCTCACGTGCGCAGTCCGTGCGCTTTTCTCCTACCAGATATAAAAGCTTCCTCTCTTTCAGATTTCAAGAACCAGAGGAATCCCGCAGTTCTGATCAAACCGGACTTCAAAAAATTCTATGGACCGGTGTGCGGAGTAATAAAAAACCAACAGGAGCTCATGGTGTGATTGTGTTGAAGAGCTTTGGGGTTTAAAAAAAAACGCTTCACGACCCAATGGTGTGGGTGTGGTGTTCCGGTATCAAAACTCGCGATGTCGACTGAATATGGAGTGGCCTGTAGTGTCAAAACTCGCCTTCAGATCAGTCATGGTGTGGGTGGTGGAGAATCAACTCCCAGGAAGCGACTGTGGATGGGGGGAGGGGTGGGATATCAAAATAGCGGTTGAAAAGACATAATGGAGTGGTGGTGCGGTGGTGCGGTGGTGTGTGGGTGTTGAGGAGACCGGTGGTGATAGTGAGCACTATCTCCTCTTCGGAGTGACTATTTGGACTACTTTCTCATTCTTGCCACTTCGTTATTCTGCTAATATTTAGCGAGCAGAACATGTAGTACGACAGCTGTTGGACTGTGACAATTAACTATAGCAAGCAATGCTGGTAGCAATTAGGGGTGACGGTAGCAATCAAGGGTGAATCATGTACATAATGTCCCCTTCAATGAATGTTCAGACACTACGGTCTGAAGTCCAACACTGCCTGTAATATAGATTTTTCAGTCTTCAGTGCTCTAGGGTTGTGATGGCGAGCATCACCGTCTCGAAATCTACGTCGCCTACTTCCTACCTTTGTCGCCATGGTATGGAATCCGATCATTTGTTGATCCTCCACCAGACCCAGAACCAAACACTCACATATTAGCGCTGGCTCTGAACGTTTTGATCCTCCACCCAGCCCCAAACACCAACATGATGTGTCAGGTCTCTGTTTTGCAAAAGCAAAACCAGACCCAACCTGAAGAACCGTTAGCAAGGGGGAAGTGGGAGTTTCATACCTGCTTCGAAAGAGAAGATTGAGGGTGCACGTGAAGTCCACGTGTTCCGTTTCCTTTTTCCATCCAAAGAAGGAGCTTCGCACGTGACAGCAACGTGACCGTGCCTGACTCAAGGGGTATAAAATCTTCCGCTCGCCGCCAACTAGTTTTCTTCCTTCATGGGTTGGTCTGGAGTGGTGAAATCAGAGAAGGATCCAGGGCGATGGGCTGCGGTTTGCAAAAGATGAATAGCATCCCGACTCATGCCCTGGCGGCGGATTTCCTATCCGCCTCGTAACCAAGATTTGGTGCGGGCGTGGTGGTTTGCAATCAAAAAAGAATAAGAACGAGAGAAATGAAGTGGTGGTGCGGGACCGTTGGTTGCGGAGGAGGTTCAAACGCTACATTAATGGTGGTAAACAGTATCAGCTCTAAGGTGATACTCATCTACACACTACGCTCCGTCGTCTTGATATCGGGCTGGTAAGCATTACAATTTCAAGCTGAAAGTGACGCCAGCCGGGCATTTTGATAAAACAAGTCTAGCCACGGCCGATCTCCTTGAGCGAAAAGACTTGAGCGACGAAGGAGCGGGGTTTTAAACCCCTTGAGAAAGAGACTTCTTAGTCACCTTCATCCACGTGATCCACTCACCACACTATGGCCAACCAGAGAACCTGCAAGGTAGAAGTAGATGGCCCTCCTGATTCCACGAACTGCCAGCACGTGCTCCGCGTGACTAGTCTTAGTGAGCTCAGATCCAGACTATAAATCCTTCCTCTCGTCCTCGACAACGGTTCTTCTCCAGGACAGAGGGTGGGTGTGGGAAAGGATCACAACAGCTGACGACTACGATCCCATGGGTTGGAGTCGCGGGTTTTGCTTGCAAAATATAACTCCAGGAGTTTTGATGCGGTGGGAGCAATCTCAGAAGTCGACAAAGACAATGGTGTGGTGGTCCAGCAATTCTGGACGAGCAGTGGTCGATGGTGCGAAATGAGGAAGAAAACACAGAATGGAGGACCAGCAATTAAAGCAGAAGGTGGTGGAATGGAGGTCGTGCGTGGGTTTCGGTCGGCATTTTTTCGCTATGATGGTGGATCCTATTGCAGGCTAGAGATGAAAACGATGAGAATGAAGCTTTACCGAGGAGTATCGAAAAAGATCTGTGATGGTGAGCATTGCTAGTCTATTACAAAGGCACCGGATCTCACTCCATCGTATTTTGACACCAGTCTTGTTGATGACGGGACGCAACCCTCCAAAGACCCCACATCAAAGGAGGAGTCGGCGGGTGGTGCTCCCAACGTGCGACCAACTGGCCCCCACAGGAATCCATGAAGACTCTGGTCGGTGTCTTTTGATGGACTTGGGATCCTCCACTATGCCGGGGAAAAGTCCTTGAGGGTGACGCTTTTATGGAGGAAATGGAATCGCATAACGTAGGCAAGCACGTGAGACATGTGACATGGGATACCTCTTTCACACCGATCGAAACTATACTCTAGTCGCATTCCAAGAGTTCAATCACAATCCTGTAGAAAACCACTCAACCCACATACTTTTGAAAAGAACAAGCGTGAAATTTCCTATCAATATAAGCCCCCTAATCAACCGTCATATTTTCCCCTGTAACCTACAACCTACAACTTCGCCTTCGCCCCCTCCAGCAACTCCGCCCCCGCCCCCGCAATCGCCAACTTCCCCGTCTCCACCACCTTCGTCTGGAAAATAACCAGGTTCCCCTCTTTCCACATCTCCGTCCTCAGCGTCTGCCCGGGCAGCACCGTGCCCGCAAACCGGACCTTAATGTTCTTAAACGCGCCATACGTCTGCAGCACATGCTTGCCGCTGAACCCAAAGAAGCACAATCCATGTAAGATAGGCACTTTAAATCCGCCGACCTTCGAGAACTCGGGGTCTATGTGTAGCGGATTCCGGTCGCCGGACAGACGGTATAGCGCTGCTTGTTCTTCGGTCGTCTTCTCCTCGACGACAGCGTCAGGCGCGCGTGGCGGTGGCTTATGCACAGCAGTAGCAGCGCCGCGGTTGCCGCCCTTGTTGGGCCCGCCGAAGCCGCCTGAGCCGCGAATGAAGACGGTGCTTTCGTTGTAGAAGACGTCTTCGCCGGTGTTTGCGTCCTTGGTGAGAGTGCCAGTGACGACGATGCCGGCGGCGCCCTTGTCAACGACTTCGACGAGTTTGGGATACGAAATGAGGGTGGCTTCGGTGGGGATGGGGAATTTGCGGATTTCGAGGTACTGCTCGCCGTGGAGTAGCATCATGGGGGAGAAGTTGGGGACGATGTCGTCGAGGGAGAAGGGGGCGACGGCGCCGAAGGGAGGGATGACTCCGAAGGTGGGAAGGACTTGGAAGTCGTCGGAGGACTCGAAGACGAGGGGGAGGTCGGTGCGTTTGGCGCCAACGCCGAGATCTGGGGATGGTTAGTATTGGGTTCAATAAGGGCATGCAATAAAAAAGCCCATAGGGGAGTATCACTGTAAAGAATGACATCCTTCTCGTCATACACAAACTTAGTTCCCTCTGCCTTCGCAGCCTTAGCAGCATCAATGGCGGATAGTATTTCCTGGTTGACTTTTCCACCCTTCTTCTTGTTGGCAAGATTCTGCATGTTAGCCATGATAGACTTGAGGCCATCATTACTGCTCTCCGGGTGATCAGCACGACCATCGTCGAAGTTGTTAATCTTTTCCCACTGCTGAACAACCGCCTCTGGGGTCAGCGGGACATCGATGGGGAATCCATGACCGCCAGTTCGCTGCCACCTCGTCTGAGCAACCCAGCCACTGCCAACTTCGTATAGGCGACCAGTGGGTGGGTCAGGGGTTTTATCTGAGCAGAGCAGGACGACTAGTGGCGCCACGTAATCTGGCTTGAAGGCCTGAACCATCTCCTCAGGCATGATGGTCCGAGTGAGCGCAGTTCCAGCGTTGGGAGCAATGGTGTTGACGAAGATGTTGTTCTTAGCGCCCTCGCGAGCAAGAGCACGGGAGAAACCGAGGATAGCACACTTGGCCGCAGCGTAATTAGCCTGGCCGAAATTTCCGTAAATGCCGCTGGTGCTGGTGGTGTTGATGATGCGGCCGTATTTCTGCTTGAGCATGTAGGGCCATGCAGCCTTCGTGACCTTGTAGGTACCACGTGCATGCACTTCCATAACAATGTCCCACATCTTGTCGTCCATGTTAGTGAAGGCCTTGTCCCGGAGGATACCAGCGTTGTTGATGAGAACATCGACGCGGCCATAGGCGTCAATCGCACCCTTGACAACAGCATCACCGTCGGTCACGTTGGCCTTGTTTCCAACCGCTTCACCACCCAGCTTCTGGATCTCCTGGACAACGGTATCTGGGTTGACGAGATCGTTGACAACGACCTTGGCACCTAGTTTGGCAAATAGCAGAGCGTAGGCGCGGCCGAGACCAGCCCCAGCGCCAGTGATGAGCACAACCTTGCCCTTGAAGTCGAGGTTTTCGCCTGGCTTGTTCGGGGGGAGCTTCTGTGCCTCCTCGAGCAGCTCCATGAAGTTGGCTGGGCCAGTGGGGTACTCAGGTTCGGAGAAGTCATTGACCTCGTTCCACTTGCTGAGCACCGCACCAGGGGTCAAAGAGCTGTCGGCGCGGTATATGGCACCCTTCGAGCGCTCCCATCGGATCTTCGCAATGTGACCACCTCCGACCTCGTATATCGCTCCAGTCTCGGTGTTCGATTTATGGGTGAGGACAGCGACGAGGGGCACAACCCAGCTGGGCTGAAGGGCCTTCAGAACATCTGGGGGCATAATAGTCTCGGTCATTCGACTAGCGGCGATCGGGGCAATGGTGTTGCAGAGGATATCATATTTCAGACCTTCCTTCGCCAGTGTCTCGGTGAAGCCAACAAGTGCCAGTTTCGCAGCTATCACATGTCAGATCCAGATACCATCAATTCAAAGAACAAACTTACCAGAGTAGTTGGCCTGTCCAAAGTTTCCAAACAATCCAGCCGCAGACGCAGTGCTAATAACACGACCATACTTCTGTTTCCTGAAATGCGGCCACGCCGCCCTAGCACACTTATACGCACCCCGAACGTGCACCGCCAGGACCAAGTCCCAGTCCTGGTCCGACATATTCTTGAAGCTGACATCCCGTAGAATGCCAGCATTGTTGATGAGTATATCAATGCGTCCGAACGCCTTGATCGCCGTATCGATGATAGCCTCGCCGTCCAGGACGTTGTCGTAGTTTGCTACGGCCTTGCCGCCAGCTTTCACAATCTCGTCGACGACGACATCGGCAGCCTAGAACACGCAACCACATATTAGTATACTTCTTGAGAGTCAAGCTTCAGTACCCACCTTGCTGCTCTTGCCCTCGCCCTTGAAGCTCCCCCCAAGATCATTCACGACAACGTTCGCGCCCCGGCTTCCAAAGAACGTGGCGTACGCCTTCCCGAGCCCACCACCAGCACCCGTCACCACGACCGTCTGGCCGTCATACCGCAGTTCAGACATGGCTGCAGTGTGTGTGTGTGATTACAAACTCTCAATCCGACGCAAGCAGGCAACAAAGAGATGCGAGTGTCTCCGCTGATCTAGGACTCGTCGCGGGGAACACGGATGGCAGCGGACTACGCTCAAAAGCTGACAATGGATATGTAGAGGTTACGGAGGGGAGAGGAGAGGTGCGGAGTGAGCGTTGCAAGCGGCTCAGGGTCACGGTTTTGAGCGCTGTCGTCGCTCTGACCGAGCTTCGATGATGTAAATGGACCTCGGCATGCCCAGAAACGCGAGGAAGGGTCACGTGGAGCGACGAACCCCACAGCTTCTAGTGTGCGGCTGCTTTCACATGCCAGGTCGGGCCTGTGCACTCCAGCTGGCCTGTCTTGTGATGGGAAAACTGACGGCGAAGCGCGCATGTGGTCAGGAGGCCGGAGCCCGAGGTCGACGTTTCATTTGTCCAGGTGCACGACCGAGCACTCGGCCGACGAGCAGAATGATGGATGGGTTTCTGGAGTAATTGCAACGTCGTCAGGATATCTGTCTCCGGAAACGTCTGGGCGCTGAAGCTATTCGGCTTCGATGCGGAGCCCGGGCGTGGCACCTCCGCATCACCAAGAAACACCAAATTTGCTCTCACAGCAGCTTTTGATACTGGAACAATATACAAACTCAAGTAGGCATAATAAAACAATATCCAAATTTTCTTAGAGCCAATAATGCAAAATACAAGCCCCTATAATCCACCTCAAACCCCATACTAACCTTAGTCGAGTCGTCAACACCCGCTAAAACTCTCCCATCTCCACCCTTCACCCCCCCTTCCCCCACCGCATGCCCTCCAATGTCCCACAATGTCGTCCATCACAGCACCACCCACAATCACCGACGACAAGTCCCCCCACGTGATTCCCTTCCTGCTCGCCCGCCTCGCCGCCCACCGCGAGCAACACGCCGCAGCAGGCACCGCCCCACCCCCGTTCTTCCTCGGCCTAAACGGCGTGCAAGGGGCTGGCAAGACCACCTTGGTGCGTGCATTCCAGTCTTGAGGCATGTTTGCATGAATCTGTGATTATTCGAACTCTGCCCACTGCTGTATTCGGGGGTCCTATATGTTGGATGTACTGCTACACTGCGTCCAACGTTTTCTCCCCCGGCATCCCCGTACTCGGCTCTCCGAAACCGGCTCCATGCAGGGTGGCGTCAAGCACCAACAAATGCCCAAAATCTCTTGGCACATCAAAACTCTACCCCTCCATAAATCCACCTCCTCTGCTCCCCCTTTCCCACTCCTTTTAAACATACGCAATGTAGCCTTCTCTGAACCCCCCAAACTCACCACTCTAGGTCTCCACCCTCGCCACAACCCTCCGCGCCCCACCCTACGCCCTCACCACCGCCGTCCTCTCCCTCGACGACTTCTATCTCCCCCACGCCGCCCTCACCGCCCTCGCCGAGTCTACCTCGAATCCTCTGCTTCAGCACCGCGGTCAGCCACCTACTCACGACCTTGTCCTGGGTGCTTCTGTCTTCGATGCTCTGAAATCCCGCGCCCCAGTCGCTTTGCCCCAGTACGACAAGTCCGCGTACGCCGGACAGGGCGACCGCGCTGATCCCGCTACGTGGGAGCGCGTAAACGAGGGCGAGGAGAAGATAGCAGTGGTCGTGTTTGAGGGATGGAGCGTTGGGTTCAAGAGTCTAGAAGAGAAAGAGGTAGAGGCGAAGTGGGTTGCGGCGCGGAAAGCAGAGGACGAGGCGGAGAGAAAGGGGGAGCAAGGAGCGGGGCAGTTGGGGAAGCATAAACTGTGGGATTTGCTCGAGGTGAATGAGGCGTTGAGGAGTTATGATGTGTTTACTGAGTGAGTAGAAGAAGAAGGGGAGAGCGTGTATGATTGAAATGGGGAGCTGACGAGAATCGATAGTGCGTTGGATGCTTTTGTGCATATGTGGGTTACCCTGTTCCTTCTTTGGTTGAATTGGGAGGGGGTCAGTAACTAACACTGCCCAGCGACGCCGAGGACACAAGATACGTCTACGCCTGGCGACTAGAGCAAGAAGCCGCCCTGCGTGCCTCCAAAGGCACAGGCATGACCGACGAGCAAGTCATCAGCTTCGTCAATGGCTGTGAGTCCAGCGTCTAGTTTCTTACCTCCTCAGCACGTTCCTATCCAATTCGCTTGCACGCATCTCCGCGGTGGAACAGTCACCCTAGCTATACCACACGTATGATATCAAGCTGACCGACAATGTACGGCAGACTACCCCGCGTACGAGCTCTACTCCCCTAGCCTTCGCCGCGGCCTTTTCGCGTCCAATACAGGCGCCCAGATGCGGCTAGTCGTAGGGCGGGATCGCATGATCAAGAAAGTAGAGGTGATATAAGAGACGCACGATAAGAGACTTGATGACAAGGAAAACAATTCTCACGAACCATTCTGATACCATGAGTGCTTACTCCTGTAGCAAGGCGATCGCGTGGGCCTGCATACAATACATACCCTAGAATCGATCGCCAGCACGACACACAACACACACCGATCGACGACGATAGGCGGGATCGTACGATACGTGCCCCTTATAGAAACCAGCTCAACTAACCTGCTGTACATTAGTGATCAGCCTCTTGCGGCGTCCAAATGCAGTCTTTTCCCGCTCTTCAGCAGTTCTATGCAGTCGTGCCCCCATCGCTTCATCAATCCAACCCCCGGCCTCACGAGCTTACCCCTGGGGGTAGTAATCTTAACCCTCTGACTTATCAGACTACTCCCTTGCCTCACCGGGTCTTATTCTAGTAGACTTCCACCAACAGCCCTATGGTATCCTAGTCAGCCAATCCGAGAAGCTAGCCAGCCGGTACAAGGGTACCTAATATCGACGGGGACCCTATCAGCTATCACAATGATCTGATAGGGGGTTCGTTTGATCGAGCGTTACGCAAGCTGCGGCCGTGGAAAAGACTCCGTAGCTCCCGGTGAATCCACTGCTTGCTGCCTGGCTGCCGCACGCGAGAAGGCAATCAAGCTGATCGGTGAAGCACAAGCCAGCAACCCAGCGGCCAGCAACTTGAAGCGAGAAGGCTGGGCCACCATCCAATGTCCCGCCCGACCTTGTCGAGAGCAGCAAACCGGATCCCTTCGCGCGTTCCGCGTTCGCCCTCGCCTCTGACGCCCCGCGTCTTTCGATTTTCGTCACAGCCAGGCACTACCCAGGGAAATCTCCGATGACGCTACAGCTCGCATGGCAGCGCAGGGGGCAGGGGCCCGTGTTCAGCCCTGTTGCAGCGCGGGGAAGGCCACACGAGGGAATCGGCCATCCATCAGCGCCCTTAGATGCTGCGGCAGTCTGAGGTTTGGGCCCAAGGCGTCCGAACGTGCAGTAGATTGAACTGTCCCGTGGGTAATCTTGTATCAGTCGTAGTCAATGCGGCGTTTACCGCGCCAACGCGGCACAGTGGCCAAGCGCAGTCGCACTGCTTTGGCCTGGAACTTCGAATTTACGTGTTGCATGATGTGATTGAGCTGACGACCATGCGTTGCCTGTTCTAGTCGGAGATAGCGATTCGACAATGAAAGACTTTTTCGTGCAGGTGGCTCCTTTGGTTCGCTCAACATCAGCAGAGCCACACTGTTGATATCCATGTAGAGCCCAATGATCGGCCAGGCAAGTAATTGAAAGCTTGATTGTATCCAATATTTCGTCGAAATACGGGAAAGATCGGTAACGCAGGGGCTTTGTGATTTTTGCCTTTGCATTGCATGAACGTGGATTTGGAATTGACTTCTGAGGGCATGAACCCCACAACGCGGGATAGAATGAAGGCGACTTGAGACTGGCAATGGTCAGACTGTTTTGTCAGCGACCTCTTCCCGGTGACAGTATTGGAAGTACCTCTGAAGTAGATAATCCCGGTTCATATTCATGTACACGTGGGCCAAAGAAGCGCAGAATCCGGGTGCTCTTTGCACGTTGCCTAGCTGCGTCTATGGTCCAGTAGAAGCATGAGGCGTAGCCGCGTGGCTGTTTCAAGCCCTGCAAACGTTTGCCTTCTGCGTGCGTTGATTCGGAAGGATTTGCGAGGTTTGCCTTTGCGCGGCAAAAGATCCTGGGTGATTTTTGACCGAGCTCCACGCCACGATCCGCCAGAGACGTGGTCGGCACCATCGACCAGCATTGCCCTGCTTAGAAGCATCCGTATTAGGATTGTTGTCCTGACGCTGCGCTGCCGTAGCAAGCCACGAGGGCACAAAGTGACATGTCAGGTCCTCCGGCGGCGATATTGCAGACAGGGCGGACTCCATGTCCAGATGGCGCTGTAATGGATAAGCGAGACCAGCAGAGCAGACGTCTCCCAGCTCCCAACGACCCCGTGTGACACCCACCCTCGGCGCCCCTCTCCCTCGCATCGTTGCTAGCCTGTCAACGGCAGCCTAAGAAGCACATCATCCCGGCCCCAGTGCACCTGCTGCGGCGGGTTTCCCAAAGACGTTCGTTTTCCAAGGCCATGTCTCTGGGATTTAGCCTGAGCGAAGCCTTATCGGGGCCACCCATCGGGAGTTTTGCCCGCTTGTCCTAATGATGGCGCGTGGACGTCAGGCGCGGGATGTCCTTGACAGACATACGATGCGTCGAGCTAGGCCTGCCAGCAACTCCTCGGCCAGCTCACCACCACAGCCGTTGGATAGTCCTCTTTTTCCGCCACTGGTCTCTTCAGCAACGCTATGCCCCAATGATGCCGAACAGAGACCGGCTGAAATGGGCTGCGGTCTCTGCTGTTGGCGTCTACTGCGCCTCCCGCCCAGGATGCTTGATCATACCGCTATGGTGCTGCTTTGAAGGAATTGTGGGGTCCCTTTTCCCACCATCGCGAAATCCGAGCCTGTTGCGTCAGTTGGGCTGCCGGACAAGGACTGAGAGAGCGACAAGCGGGTGGGTGTGTGACAGGTGTGGGGAGATGGGGCGCCTCCGTGCCCGAGGAAGACACAGCTGCCACCCAGCCGGGCAGTGGAAGCAAATGGAAGCCCCTTGTCTCCGCCGGGTGCCCTGGGTCCTGTAGATCGGGAACCGGCTCGGATGATGGCAAAGTTTGTTGGTTGACAACGGTGTCAAGTCCAGCGTGTCAAGTTCGGTCTGGCTATCGTCAGCCCTGGAGCCCGAAAGCCAGTGGGTACAGGCCGGCTAGCTCATACACCGTACTTTGAAGCGCGCCAAAAAGGGCCCAGTGATGGGCCACAGGTATCCCAAGGCAATGTCGGATCGTGCTTGCAGGCCCAAGCCCTTGTCGTCTCCGTCAGGTGAGGCCTGATCTTCGTGGAAGGCGACGCTTTGTTCCTTGTATTTGTTTCCGCCGCTGCCTTTATTGGCTGATGCAGCACATCGCGGCTTGTCTCAGAGTCCTTGGCCTAAGCTCTTGCAGTCAAAATCGGCATGATGCCCACCCTTGCTGTCTCCATCTGAAGCCTCATCTTTCGCTCTCACCAAGTCACGACCGATGTGTGCGTCTAGTGCGAAGCAGACTGTATCCCATCGTCGAACATTCTTTTGGGTGCCCGTGGATGAGTGAATTCCGTCCATCCGAGGACTTGTTTGCCAGCGCGCAGGCTGACTCACTTGCAGCCACATACCTCGCTATTCCGCTGTGTTCAATCGAGGCAGTATCCAGTAGAGAGGACTGTGGAACCGCAGTAAAGACACAGCAGCGGCTAAGAACACCGACATATCTTCTTCGTCATCCGTGCATGGTGCATGCCAAGACAATATGAGTATCGATGAAAGAGCATTAGTTGAGGTCGAGGAGAGAGTATTCCAACATTATTCAGTGGCCCACCGGATATATTGCGTTCCGGTAGATGATGTGAGTGAGATGGTCATCGTATTCGCAGCATATGATGCTCTTTCATAAAAAATCAGACAAAATGGACGATAGACTGATGACTGAAAAGGACGAAGAGAATAGACTCGATATACAGTATCCAATTATGAAAACGCTTTTCGGGTGGGGATTCAATGAAGGCCAATCTGGAAGACTCTGGTTCCCGCCTATTACTCCTAGGACAGTGCTGGATTGCGGTTACGGGTTTGGAAATTGGGCAATTGAGGTCGCTCAATCGTATCCTACTTGCCAGGTATAATTCGACCCTTTCATTGACCAGCTGGTGGACTCTCTAGTAGCGTGCACCCAAGACATGAGCACTATAGTCAGTGAAGTCACAATGTCTCACGTCGATGACCCTTACTCAACGTGGAATTGTTTACTGATATCGAGCAGGTCCGAGGAGTCGACATTTACCCAGCAGACTTAGCTGCCGAGCCTACCAACCTGACCCTCCAGGTACACAACCTGAACCGTTCGCTAGACGATATACTTGAGCCCGGAGAACCGAAATTCCACTTGATCAACTCGTCGTTTGTCGGTCCTGGTATCCACCGAGGAAGATGGCCGTATTATGTCCACGACTTGAAGAAGCTTACAGCGCGAGGGGGTTGGGTTCAGATGATGGAATACAGTTATTTCATTCAGTCGGACAGTGGTCTTCTTACGCCACAACATGCCTTGAGTCAATGGTATGCGTACTACTACCAAGCGATGACAATGGCAAATGGCGGGGATAGAGACCCGGCCATTGGCGGACAGTTGCGACAACTGATGACGAATGCTGGTTTTTCCAACGTTCAGGGACAGACATATAGTTTGCCCATTGGAGGTTGGCGAGAGGGTATGGTCAATATCTCCTACTGTTGCAAAAAGTTGCCGACTCATGAGCTGCTCGGTTCGTTATGTGAGAGCTCAGGGGTCGGCCATCGTTCCTCTAGGTTGATCCGATGGTTTCGATCTTGTCTTTCGATTTATATGGCCCAAGTCCTACTCAGGCTCTGCTGTCTTGCAGCTCATATTCTTCTGTTCATCTTCTCATCTTTCGACACTTGCTGACTTTTGACCGCGGTTCAGGCCAGGAAAGGATTGGTAGAGACAACTTGGATAACATCGAGGAGCTTCTCAACTCCCAGGCCATTTGGCCATTCACTCAACTGTTGGGATGGAGCAAAGCGACGTTCGACGCCTTCACGGCACGGGCGATGGTTGAGGCGAGGGACGCGACGCTCAAGCCATACATCCGCGTGTAAGTTGGAGTGAGTGACAGCTTGCGACTAGCCGCTCACTATTTATCTAGGCATGTGGCGTTCGGAATGAGGCCATAGATCCGACCGAAGGATTCGACAGCTCCGCGACGACGAGCTCCACTGCGGCGACCGATTCTCCACGATGTCCGACGGTACGCGGTGATATCGAACGAAGGTGTCGAGTCGCTTTTTCTGGTATGCAGCCACTGAAGTTGTTTTGTTTCCAGTTCGCGTGCGGTCTTTCGTTCATTCTTGTGGCGGAAGGGTGAACGTTCTGTTGGACTTCTCCTCCCCTCGACGTCCCCATTAGCGTCTATCGTCTGTACAGGGTACACGTAGTGTGGTAATAAGACAAACATACTCTCTCTTGTGCAGACCCAGCTCATCATCATGCTGATTGTCCTGGTGTGTCTGGATGCCTGGGTGAGGCATACCCAAGAGGCGAAGCGGACACAGCCTCAACAACGGCATTAGACGACAGCAGTCGATAAGACCACGATGAGAGGAGGGCCCGTCGTCCAGATGTCCGTGGTAAGTCCTGGGCAAGACTCGAGTCGAGGGCATCTTGGGGGGCAAGAAAAGCGGAGAAAGTGGCATGTTGAGCCGTGGATGAAGTAGGCGGTAGCGTAACGACACAGCGGCCCCATAGTCCACCCCCACGACGGCTCTATGCGGCGGAGATGGTGAGTTGCGATGAAAGGGCGATTCCGAGATGCACAGTTAGGGCCAGCAGCAGAGTCGGAGCAACCTCCTGAAGATGAAGGTTGCCAGCAGACGAGGTGGATCGGCGGCATGAGGCGAGGGTGACAGAGACGCTGATTGGCATGGTTCGGGCTTGCAGGGTTGCTGAGGCATTGTAGCCGCCGGGGCTCAGGCGGCAGGTGTGGTGAGGAGATGGCGAGGGGCGGGGACGGTGGATGATGGTGGAGGAGAGAGAGGGGGGTGGAGGTTGGGGATAGCGGCATCAAACAAAAGAAAGGCACGAAGCAAACATGCGCCAGCGAATAGCGGGCGAGGCAGATGGTGAGGCCCCGTACACGGCAAGGCGATGGGCACTGCTTTCAAGCTGCTAGCCCCAAGCCATTGCTCCCAGCGCAGCGGTACCGGGTCTCCGGTACAGCGACGTGGGAAGCGCCCTAGACAGCCCAACCTTGAAGCAGCCGCGGATTATGCCGCCCTGACTCGAAATTGGCTCGAGAGTGCGAACAGGCTATCCACGCGGCCGCCGCTGGTGTTGCAGTGCCAGCTGGCAACGGCGCCTCTGGATGGATGCATGGCGTCTCAACACGCAGCGGGCAGGCCCATCCCACGCGGGCGCCGGGCTTGCCCGTGCCTTCTGGAGATGTGGAGAGCGGCCCGTATCCAGGGCTTCGATGCTCTCGAGCGCCTCAGCATCACCGGCCCGATCTGGCTTGCTCAACGGGATTGGGCTGCAAGTGAAGCGACCCACTTCCCGGTAGATCCGTTCGCTTTGGCCAGCGCGCTCTTCATGGCGTCCACTCGAGCACGCGGGGAACCGGCTTCTCTATCACACCTCCTAGGCCCGCATACAACACCGCACACGTGACATGCAATATGCTGAGGACATGGGCCCTTGGGCGCCCCTATCCTGAGTCGCTTATCCCTCACCTGCAGCGTGGAGCAACCCCCATCGGTGAGGCTATGGAGACAACCCTCGAGGGTCCTCCGGCCGTTGAAGATCCGCTCGGGGTTCATAATCCCTTCAGAGCGTGATCCCCGCGGCTCTTGTGTGCATTCACCTTCACCCTCGTCGTGCTCTCGCTGCGAAACGTGGCCCTCCAGCCCTGCCTCCTCCGCCCTATGCGCTCCGACGCGCCATGCACCACGCCAGTCGCGCTGCGAAGCAACCCTGCAACGCTCCAAGCATTGCAAGGCCTGGAGCGCCGGGTCGACTGCCTTCTTCCGATGCTCCTCAAATCTGCCATAGCATGTTGATAAGACTGGCGTCAACGTGTTCGACGCGGTGCGACGGCAGCCCGCATATCAGGGTCCTCGACGAGAACTCGAAACGGCCATGCATCGTGCCACCCAACGGCTATCGCCGCGCTTGCGCCATCTTTTGTCGTCTGAGAGTGGTCTGGCCGCCGAATAGATGGAGCCGTATGCAGCCCTCAGGGATGCGAACAAGCAACAGGTAGCGTGATTGATCTCCCCATTTTTTTCGGAAGCCAGCATCCTGCAAGACCATCGAGATAGCCGTTGGACGTCGCGAAAAAGCCGCGTTTCGGAATGCCATGCGCCCAAAGAAGGCTAGGCCTTCGGGCAGCCGATCATTCCCCACACTGCACGACCATCCATGCTTCCCGTGAATGTCTCCGAGGTTAGTAATACACCAAGCCCCGCCTCAGTATATCGTCCCCATGCTGCCGCTGGACGGGCGCTGCACTTCGCCGGCGTCCTACCGCCATAGCGTTTTCTTCACCTGCGTCGTCATGCATCTACTTAAAGACCTGCCGCCGTCCCTGGCTTCTGTCCCTGAGCCGCCGCCGCCAATCCGTCAACCAAGAATCCCATCATGCAGCCGTCGATCTGCACCGCTTTCGCTCTTGTGCTCTCCTTGACGACTGCGACTGGCCATTGGAAGGGCCCAAGCCATCCTTCGTGGGATTTGAGGCAGTTCAAGTCTCTCGTCACCTTTGGAGACAGCTATACCGATGAGAATCGCCTCGGTTACTTTGGTGCCAACAATGGCAGCGCACCGCCAACAGGATGGGTAGAGCCGATGGTCAGATTCCTTTTCGTTCTGTCTCATCTTTGAGTTGGTCACGGCGACTCGTTTTCCCCGCATTTCAAAGTCATCGGGCGTTTCTTTTGCATTATTTACAGCGCCAAGCATACCACGCGTGTCCTCCGGAGATCTCGAATATGTCTTTGCACTAGTCTGAATCCATATTGAAAGCCTTCTATATATCCTTCACGTGATCTTATATACGACAACCTTCTCACGGTCCGAGGCTCAGTCTCAACATCCTCCGCTCAATCCCATCTACCTTCAGCTCTCTCTCCATCACCCTTCCAATCTCAACCCAACTAACATCCCCAGTCCTTCAACACAGCCGGCGGCGGCATCACCTGGGCCCGCTGGGTCTCCATCTACACCTGCACCACCCTCTGCAACTACGCCGTCTCCGGCGCCGTCTGCTCCAACGCCCTCACCCCGCGCACCTGGGACGCCGTCCACGCCCCCTTCCCCGACATCGCCGGCTACGAGCTCCCCGCCTTCACCGCCGACGCCGCCTACATCGTCCCCGCCATCCCCTCCGCCCCTGCCCACCGCTTCCTCTCCATCCCACCCCAGTCCACCGTCTACGCTACCTGGATCGGGACTAACGATCTCGGCGCCAGCGCCTTCCTCACCGACTCCCAGGTCGCCGGCAAGACGATCGCCGACTACATCGACTGCGTGTACGCGGCCTTCGATGGGATCTACGCGGCTGGTGGGCGCTACTTTGTTCTCATGAACGCCGCGCCGCTGCAGCTCGCGCCGTTGTACGCGACGCCGCAGAACGGGGGACTGGCGAAGAGCAAGTACTGGGGCGACAAGCCGGCTAATATCACGCAAGTGAGCTATCGGATGTGGGAGACGGTCGTGGGCGTGAATGCCATCTTTGCGGCGCGCACGCCGCTGGAGTTGTTAGTTAAGAGGAGGTATCCCGGCGCGAGGTTTGCGGTGTTTGACGTTAATTCCCTGGTGCGTACTTGATCCCAAGTATCTACCTCGCAGCGCAGTTTCTAATTATGAGCAGATCACGGACATCTGGAACCACCCCGACACCTATCTCAACGGCACTGCGCCCGCGAACGCGACGGGGTTCGTGCAGCACTGCGACCTCACTGGTTCAGATTGCACGCTGGATGCGAGCCCGGACTCGTTCCTGTGGTTCGATGAGCTGCATCCGAGTCAGCAGGCGGATCGGGTGATTGCGAAAGCCTTTGTAGACGTTGTGGAGGGGCAGAGCAAGTGGGCGACGTATTGGGCATGAATTATGAGTTTCGGCCAGCTTGCTAAGGGGCGAAAAAGTAATTAAGATCGAGAAGATGTGGGAGTGAGGGTTGTTGCAGTAGGCGAAGAAAGCTCTCCCCGGAGTAGGTAGCCCTTGAGAGAAATTCGAGAATAATCAAGGAATAGTACATTAAATGTTCCGACATGTTTAGTGTGGCGGAGCCTTCTCCGCCCTCGGTTTCCCATTAATAGAGAATAACGGACGGTTGCGCGACGTGAGTACCGCGCTTAGGCGCAACAAAAAAGACCATCTGTGGAGCAAAACACCACCCTCTTTCGAGGGTGTAGCCACCCCGGATGGGGTTTCTCTAAGTCCGCCCGCCTGCGGTATTTTTCAATCCGTCATCTTAACCGGCCACTCTCAGCCTCACGCACCAACTGCATACGTCCTCTTTACCAGGCTTCCAAGCCTCTCTACGAACCAGGCCGCCCGAAGTCAACTCGACTTTTTAACACAAGGGTCGAGTTGAGAATCGAACTCAAGACCCAGGTGAGGGTTGTCGACGGTAGTGAAACGCTACCTCGGGAGGTTAAATGCCTGGAATCCGGCCGCGGGCTTACACTCGGTGTGGCCGGTTACCAACGGAGCTGCTGGGCAATTAGTGGATGAGGGATTCCCCAGATTTTACTTGGAATATATAGACTAGGTGAGGACGAACGACGTCATGGCTGCTAATAATTTTTAAAGAGGTATCTCACCTAATACCGCCGCCATCACACCTAACTGCTGAAGACGACGTCACGTGTGTTTTTTCTTTCTGTTGTGTTCTCAGTCTACGCGCTGGCACTGATCCATTCACCAATCTCGAGAGTATAAAGACCCCTCGCCTACTCATAATTTTCTTTTCCTCAAGAGTCTGGGCGGCGGTTTTGCAAAATTAGAAAAAGCTATCGCGTCATGGTCGTCCCGTGCTCGGTGGAGGATCAAAATCGCCTCGACCCCTTTCTCGATGGCCGGAGAATCGTCCCAGAGTCCGCGGTTGTCCCAGTGATGCCTCAACACTACGACCCAAAGACGGCCAGGAACAGGCTCCTTAAACCAAAGCCACAGATCATCAGGGAAAGAGACCTAGCTCCTCATCAACCGGCTTTACGGCTCTTGCGCATAGGGAACATGTGGTGCTCGTCATCACCAAGCTTTCTTTCCCCCCAACTCCCCAACGCACCTCCTCCGTATCTTCTTTTCCATCTGCTTTTTAATCCCCACCACACCTCCCACACCATGGCCTCTTGGACATCAGACGTTGATCCTCCATCGGGTCATTGTCTGACGCCGTTTACACGCTTGCACGCAAGACCGCAGCACCGCCCCTGTAAGAAGTCGCTTGCGTCTTCTGCTGCCCCTCGAAACCATGTCCACCCATGAAGAAAGAAAGAGCCCCTCCTGGCTGAGAAAGATTTTATACCCAGGAGAAGGTGGGCGACACGTGATCTCAGGTAGTTCACGTGATCTCAACCCCTTCCATACCCACCCCTTATCCTCGACTCGAATTCGTCCTTTAGGTATATAATCTTCTCTCTCGTCCTAAAGTAAGTGAGTAAGCGTACCAACGTTGAGGTAGAGCTAAGTTAGGTGGATAGCACATCCGGCGTGTTGGTTATTAACATGGGAGGTGATGGTGGTATAGAAGCTGCTGATATTAGATAGTATCTAAATAGTGTGTTGTATTAGCAAGAAAACGTATATAGAAGTCGTCGCAATAAAGCGTGAGCGGGGGGTGTATTATCAAGAAACCGCTCGTAGCTGTCGTCGAAATAGAGCGTACGCGGAGGCGTATGTGAAACGTGACGCCAGGTAAAATGTTCGAGGTGATGTAAGATAGAGTTCTTACCAGGGGCGCATTTCGCCTGTTGGTCATCGAACCCAAAACGCGACACCGGGGGCTGGCCAAGTGATCTCGATGAAGATTACTGAAAAGCTGACGTAGGTAATATCGGTGGCGGTATTCTCTTCAGAGAACCTCCGAGGGGCGAACGAGTGGTGAGACTCCGTGCGGATACCACGGAACCGTCGAGCGGGTGGATACGAGACAATCGATTGTCAGGTGCTTCGTGAGCCTATGTTTAGAAATCTCCCAATCTACCCAAAAGATTACTCGCCAACTTGTTCTCGTGATCAGAACCTTCTTCGATCCCCGATCCCGTCCCACCACCACCACACCACTCCTTCCGCATCCATCACTCGAGAACCAAACGCGGCCCAATCACTCAAACCAGCAAGGACCTCAAAAAATAAGGAGCGTAAGAAGTTGGATATTGATTGATTAATTTCCATAAAATGTACTTTTCTATATTTCCTGCATCATTATCAACAATGCTCTCAATTCAATATTTCTCACAAATATCCCTAATAGAACACCGCGGCTATATGCATATGATACCGACTAGATATTAAGGAATGAATGGACCACATATCCCATGAAGATCGCTAGTAGATTAGGAAATTCGTAGATGGGCCCTTATTAGATCCCGCCTGTTAATACTATGTTCCTAACGCCGTATGATGATCGTGTTTGATGAGAGCCAGTTCGTGGGTCTACCATCCGTAACCGTAGTAGCCAGTGGGCTTGGGGCCAGTGCGAGACGAGCTGGCGCTGACGCTGACGTGGTGGCCTGGCTTGGTCGGGTATGGGCCGGCGCTGGAGGAGGACGGGATCGAGCCCGTGGAGTAGCCGCTGGGACCGGTCGGGGGCTTGACCCAAGAGCTCTGGGTTGGCTTGGAGGGCTTGGAACTAGGGGTCGCACCGACTGAGACGTAGGTGCTTGGTGTCGGCTGGTTGGTCACGGTGATGCAGGTGGTAGAGCCACCAGATTCAGTGATGGTGTAGGTCTTGGTGATGCACTCAAGGCAAGGCTGGGAACCACCGATGGTGACGGTGACGGTCTCTGTGGACTGGGCAACGGTGATGGTCTCTGTGGCCTGGCCTGCGGGGCAGCTAGTGACGGTGACTGTTGGCGCCGGGCAAGTGGCTGGGTAGGTCACGGCCGGGGGAAGAGTAGCTGGCGTGACTGCTGGGGGGGTGTTGGCTGGTGTCACCGAAGCTGGAGGAGGCACAGGGGCATAGGTGGAGGACTCGACAGGAACAACCGGGGGAAGAGT